GTGACATCTTTGAGGACATTGTCAAATTTTTTGCTGCTTTCCCTGGCAAAAAGAGCTTCTTGGTGTATAATGCAATGGAACTGAATGACTTGATGTTTTGTTTCTTTAACAAAGAGCTGTATGAAACCAGATGTTGGCCCCACCATAGAAGGTGCCCCATCACTAGTAATTGAAACCACCTTTTCTGGTCTTATGTCTTGTGACAAAAAAAGCCTCCATCACAGCATTGTAGATATCTATCCCTTGTGTTCTTTCAGGCAAAGATACCAGTTTCACCAGCTCTTCTCTCATGATGTCATCAACAGCATAACACAAAATTACTGCTAGCCTTGCATGATTATTTATATCTGTGCTTTCATCCAAGCATAAGGAGTAACAGGCTGCCTTTTGTAAGTCAGTGGTGAGCTGCTGACTAACATCATTTGCCATGCGCTGGACTCGATCTTTAACAGTATTTCTGCTAAGTGGCATCTCAGAGATGCGTTGAGTAATTTTATCCTTGTTTGGGAAATCATGAAAAAGGGAATTACTCCCAGACAACATGGCTGTTTTGATAATGTCCCCATCAGAGAGGGGGTTACCATGTTTTGCTACACACAGTGACATTTGAAAACTGGCAGCTGTCAGATGACTAGTTCTAGAAAAATGGTTGCAAAAACTAAGATACTGGGAATGATATTTCCTCAATTTCCCTTCAAGAAACTCTTTTCTTTCAGTTTCACCAAGTTTGGCAAGATTTTTGTGCTTGGTGTCAAAGTGCCATCTGACACTTGATGTATGACATAACACTTTCATTACACAGAATACATAATGCTTTCCCACTGTGTTCAGTCACTCCAAATGACTCTGTCCAGGCCTCTTGGAATGATCTTCCATTATCTATTTTTGCTTTTTTTGCTGTACTCATTTTTGGGTGTTCAAGACTTGGAGTCTACAAAAACACAAAATTAAAAAAGTCAATGCCTTTTCTTTTTCCCTTCTCTCCCTCACTTTTCCCTTTTTCTCTCACCCTTCGCTCGCAAACACCCCCCCCTCACTCATACTTTGCTCGCAAAAGCCTCCACTCGCTCTCATTCACTCCCCTGGCTCTTTCCAAGGCCTCTCTCGCTTGGTCTTTCCCCCACTCACTCCTCCGTCTCTTTCAAAGGCACCAGTCTCTCCCCCACTCATTCCTCTATCTCTTCCAAACAGCACTTGCTCTTCCAAAGACTGCTTGCTGGCTCACTCTCACTCGCTCACTTACTGCTCCGTAGCTTCCAAATGCCACTTGCTCCTCACTTATTGCCCTGTCTCTTCCAAACTCCACTTGCTCACTCGCTCGCTTACTGCCCCGTGGCTTCCAAATGAAACTTGCTCACTCGCTCGCTCACTTATTGCCCTGTTGCTTCTAAACACCACTTTTTCGCTCACTCGCTGCCCTGTCGCTTCCAATGCCACTTGCTCGCTTGCTCACTGCCCATAGCTTCCAAACGCCACTTGCTCGCTCACTCTTGCTGCCCCATCAGTTCCAAATGCTTCCAAACGCAACATGCTCGCTCACTCGTTCACTTACTGCCCTGTCGCTTTCAAACGTTTCCAAATGCCACTTTTTTGCTCGCTCACTCACTGCCCCGCTTCCAAACACCACTTGCTTGCTCTCTCGCTCACTGCCCATCGCTTCCAAACATCGCTTGCTCACTCACTCACTGTCCCGTCACTTCCAAATGCTTCCAAACTCCACTTGCTCGCTCACTTACTGCCCCGTTGCTTCCAAATGCCACTTGCTCACTCGCTCACTTACTGCCCCGTTGCTTCCAAATGCCACTTGCTCACTCACTCGCTTACTGCCCCGTCGCTTTCAAACACTTCCAAACGCAACTTGCTCACTCGCTCACTCATACTGCCCTGTCGCTTCCAAATGCCACTTTTTCACTCGCTCGCTGCCCATCGCTTCCAAATACCACTTGCCCGCTTACTACCTGTAGCTTCCAAACGCCACTTGCTCGCTTACTCACTCACTTACTGCCCAGTTGCTTCCAAACGCCTCTTGCTTGCTCGCTCACTCACTGCCCCGTTGCTTCCAAACGTCGCTTGCTCACTCTCTCACTTACTGTCCTGTCGCTTCCAAACACCACTTGCTTGCTACTCTAGCGAACTCTGTGCTGGGGCAACTACACGTGTACCCACAGAGAGGGCTCCACACATGCCATTTTCGCCACCACTACCCTATACCATTTCAGATAAATGGCTGTTCAGTCTCTTCTTAAAAATTTCCAGTGTTGGAGCATTCACAACTTCTGGAGGCAGGTTGTTCCACTGATTAATTGTTCTAACTGTCAGAAAGTTTCTCCTTAGTTCTAGGTTGCTTCTCTCTTTGATTAGTTTCCATCCGTTGCTTCTTGTCCTGCCCTCAGGTGCTCCAGAGAATAGCTTGACTCCTGCCTCTTTGTGGCAAACCCTGAGATATTGGAACACTGTTATCATGTCATCCCTAGTCCTTCTCTTCATTAAACAAAAGATGCCACTCAGAAGCAATCCCATCAAGATCCCAACTCATCCAGTGATACCAGAAGCAACCTGGATATGAATGGAATTATCAGCAAGACTGGCAGAAAGTTCAAGTGCCCACAGGAATCAGAATATAACACATCTGATGGGCCATTTCAATATACACACCTATCTATATACTTATGCACGTGTGTGTGTGTGTGTGTGTGTGTGTGTAGGTAATCCTTGACTTAAACAATTCATTTAATGACAATTTGAAGTTACAAAGGCACTGAAAAAAATGACTTATGACCGTTTTTCACTTACAACTGTTACAGCATCCCCATGGTTACTTGATCAAAATTCAGACGCTTGGCAATTGACTAGGTTTTATGATGGTTGCAGTGTTCCTAAGTCACATTATCACCTTTTGAGTCCTTCTGCCAAGTAAAGTCAATAGTTGTTAACATGACAACTGCAGTTATTCACTTAACAACTATGGCAAGAAGTCATAAAATAGGGCAAAACTCACTTAACAATTGACTTGCTTAGCACCAGAAATTTGGGCTCAATTGTGATCATAAGTCAAAGATTACCTATATTATATAGATACGTGTGCATAATAAAATGGCCCACCAATATATGTAATGCATATTTATTAATGGTGAAATCTCCACAATTTGATTCAGCTACAGTTGGCATTCTTAGGGTGGGAAGATGAGCTTATAATTGTGCAGGATTTTTGTTTATAACTTTTTTCTGGCTATTCTTTTTACTGGGAATGCTGTCTTAAATAGAAATTGTCTTTACCCAAAAGACTGTACATGAAATTATTTCAATTTTCTTTCAGCTGAAGCTTTAAAAAGAAAAACTACAGTAGTCCTTGCTATTTTTCAGCCATGAAGTAGACTTTTCTTTTTCCCCAACTTCTGGATACTTTTCCAACAATGTTTTTTCTTCGGCCTGATCCATTTCTGTACCTGCCTCATGCAATATGTTATTTTTTCATCAAGACTTATAAAAATTATAATATGGTAGCATTTCTGGAACTTAAGGCAAACAGTGTAATAATCTTAAATGGTCTCATATCAACATAGTTTATAAGATAACGTTATCTATTACAAAGACCATTATAAACATCTGAAACTTGTTTTTCTGAATGGTTAACTGGATTTCTAAAAAAGCAACATGAAAAATATGAAGACCTCCATTGTATATCTTAAAAATACACCACAAATATAGACCTGTTTCTTGTTAATGCAATTCCACCTAAATGCAGGCTGGCTCAGCAATCTCAGATCAACTGCTACACAAGGAGACAAAAATAAACATACTGGTATATAATGTAAGGAAACTTGCCATATAATCTGCTTAAAAGCTTAAATATGCTTTAAACAGATGTCACTTCAATATTTTTTAAAATAACTTTCTAATTACTGTTTTTAAAGTTAATATTAAACATATTATTTGCCTCATAATAAATATTCTAGTATAGAAAGCATTTTATTAAGAAAATGAATTATTTCTGCCACTTTTATTATAATGGTAGGCATCTCATTAAATAAAACCAGGAATTTTACAGTGGGAAGGGTAGGCCACACAAAAGTAGCATTTTAAACCCACTTACATCACCAGGTATTTGGTAAGCAATTGTTTATTGTGGAAAGTATAAGACTGATTCTAATCTAATCTGTTTAGATCAGCCTCTTTCTGGTCTATCCTTTCTGTAATAACCAGATGGCTGGTTATTACAGAAAGGATAGACCAGAAACAGGGTGATCTTAAACAGATTAGATGGCTGAAACAACAGCTGTTATAAGAAGTGGCTCAGTTATGACTTGTTCATCTTGTGCTTTAACTTCCTTCTTGCATATTATTTTCCCTATTCATTTATTGCATCTCTTTTAACATTTTATTCCTTCCAACCATTGTTTCTCGTCTTGCCTTCTGGTGCTCTGGAGAATAGGTTGATCCTCTCTTCTTTATGGCAGCCCCCAAAATATTTGAAAACTGCTCTCATGTCCCCCCTAGTACTTCTTTTCATTAGGCTGGACATACCCAATTCCTGTAATCGTTCTTCCTATGTTTTAGCCTCCAGTCCCCTTATCATTCTTGTTGCTCTTCTCTGCGCTCTTTCCAGACTCAACATCTTTTTTATATTGTGGTGAGCAGAACTGGATACAATATTACTAAGGCCACACTAAGTCATCCAGCTGGGCAACTGATCCTGGGCCAGTCATCCTGTCTCAGGCCCAAGAAGAAGTGATAAGGGAAAACTACTTCTGAAAAACGCCATTTTATGCAAAATTATATAAAGAAGACGCGAGGGATTTGGCTGATACTAAGAGTCAAGACCGATTCAAAGGCAGAAATATAGACACCCACATATATACACAGCCTTTTTCTTTTTATAACTATCTTCGTTCCCTTTCTAACCACATAACATTACTTACCTCTATTCCTTCCGAAAACACCACCAGCCCGCCTGCAACGGCAAATCTCCCGCCAACGGCTCGCGCTGCTTCCTGGAACTTGTAGTTCTTTCCCTCCCGACTCGCCTCCAGGTGACGCGATTGGACGCCAACCCGGAAGTGTTCCTATGGCGGCGGTGCCCCCCTTCAGTGGCCTGGTCTCCGTGTTGGAAACCTACCGGGGCAGAGACCGAGTGGTGAGAGGAGGAGGGAATATCGAAGCTTTCCCCCCCCCCCACTTTTGGGCTAAGAGCGACCGGGTGTGGGCGGGTACTGGGTACCCAAAACTCCGAGAGACGAATTTGGGCATCTACCACTTTCTCAATGCTCCCTTACTCACGCGTCCCTCCTCAGGCTGCTACTCTTAGCAGTCACAAAGTTTATGGTCCCAATAAAAGAATATTTGTAGCTCAGGGTTGAAATGAAGGGTCCTTGGTACTCTCTGAGCGTGGCTGTTTTCTTGGCATACGTTTCATTTACTCATACCAGGCAACATCATCAGTGCTGATGTTACCTAGTTTGAGTCATGAAACACCTGCAAGCAAACAACCAAGCTCAGAAGTTTATGGTTCCCTGGACCTGAGGGGTTCCATATAGAAAAAGGCTGAATTGTGACTCCAGGATCTTGAAGAACTGGAAAGTCTATGTTATGGAAAGCATACATGTTATTTTATAATTTGGGTTGCTCCTAAAGGGGAATGGTGAGAAAAAAAAAGGGGTCGTAAAGGAAGAAGGAAGGAAAGCACATTTTGAGACCACAGTGTTTGTTGCATTGTATGCTTATCTCTTGTTTAACATTGGATCTGTAAACTATAAATATCTGTTTCTCATGATGCTTTTAAAATTCATATATGTAGGTACAATGTACACACAAATGTAGTGCACAAAACAAGTACAAAGCATGCAATTCAATATTAAAAGGCACTAACAACTAATTACGCTTCTAGCAGTTTTATTTTTTTTTAACTCACATTTATTTTGCTGCATTGTCTTCCACTTCTAATTTATGTACCATATAGATACCTAAGAGATCCCTGCCCACTACAGCTGGGATTAGACAACCCATGACCCTTTGGATCATCATTTCAAAAATATTTCCTTACCAGATTCCTCAGTGCCTTCAACAAGGACAGAACTTTGAATGTACTTGAAAAGTTCTTAAAAATTCAGGGATATTCAAAGGTATATCTGCCTTGAAGGAAGCCTATGTTGAACATAACACAAACATCAGCACGGGAAATGTTTTGTGATATTTTGTATTGTGTTATAAACTATGCCACGATCATTTTTATGTTCTAAAATGTTATATGCCATTTGACAAATTTTAATTCCACAAGAGTCTTAAGTCCCAGATTGTGGACATTTTCGGTAAATTAGCCCATTTAAGGTACCTTGATTCAAAAATCATTGCTCTATGGTGCACTGTTTTACTCAATTAAAGATTACAGGAACAAGAGTTTTAATAGTACACATATTTTGAGGTTCTAAGGCTATCATATTGGTGACCCCTCCTCAAAGAATATTTCACAGAGGCCCTCAAATCTAGCATCAAATGTAACACAATCTCTTGTTCTCCAAATTATAAACAATTCCTTCACATATATGAAACAATAGATTTTACCATATCTTGTTCCTCTAAAATTTAGTATGCTAAAAGTTGAAATATATTGTTTCAATCATCTATAACATTTTAGTAAAACAGGAGCCAATTAATTTTTTTTAAAAAAAAAAAATTTGAGCGGGGCGAAAAAAAGCTGGCTTATCTTTGAAATTAACCTTCTCAATTTAAAGATATTTGTGAAGTATTTGCCAATAGTAAGAGGATATGAAAAAATATGGCCTACAGAACACCTTTTAATTTTGTCCTGTTCTCCAAACTTTAATTTTGGGGGAATACATGGCTCTTTAATAAAAATATAATTAGCAAATGGTAGTAATGCTTTATACAATAAATCTTCCCACATAAGATACGCACCATCTGTTATGGCTGCCAGCTGGCTGGAGGGATTTTGGTGGCCAGAAGACAACCTGGAGAATCACCACTTGGTCAGGGCCTCCTGGCTGTCTCAGCACAACTAAGTCACTGTCGAACAGTACTACGCCTTTTTGACGACCTAACCATGCTTTCGTATAGCTGCCAATATGGACTGGGGAACAAGGTAAGACATCCCACAAAGTGCATGCTGTCCAGAAAGTTGAAAGTTTTGAATGTTAATATGGGCATTTGCAAAAAAGTTAAATCTTATCCTGATCCAGGGTCTCCCTAATGCAAGAAAGATATTAGAATAAAAATGCAAGCAACAATAAGCAAAACCCATTACTGAATATGCATCTATGAACAGCTAAAATTGTTTAAAGAAATATGTCTCTGAATATATTGTTGGTGAACAACAGTCGAAAACAAAAATTTAGATGTTGCTTTCCTCATCACAATACTCATACCTATATTTGTTGTAGCATTTTCTGCTGTTATTCAAAATGTCATAGAACATTGTCTCATAGGCCGGAAGGGACCTTACAGTCTTCTATATAAATCAGACTACGCTTGTAGTTTATGAGACTGTTGTCTTACTAAAATAGGGCTATGTTGTCTAGATGAAATCACATGTCACTATGTTGTCACTTAGTGCAAAGTATGCTCACTACTGTACGACCCTTCCCCATTGACTTTCCTGTTATTTGCAGCTGTTGTTATGCATTACCATTTTATGGAAGTACAGGGATACTGTATGTGAGACTTTCAAAGCATTTCAGTTACAAGGACGTTGCTACAAGTTGTAAGGAACATTGGAGATCAGCATATCTTAATCCAACTGAATCCAACCATCTCTAAATTTAGTAACAAATTTGACAGAGTTCTACTGTTTCACAGTCTGGGCTATAGAGTTTCTTGTATTTATAACTCAGACTTTGTATGAAATACTGAATGAGAAAGGATATTTGAGATGATCAAAAATACTGGGGATGAAAGGAAGAATTTTCAGATAGAGAAAGAAGTGTGGCTTGAAGTAAGTGGTTTAAATTTAAATGTTCAGACAATGTTATCAAAAGCAGCACTTTATTTAATCCCATAATCTGATAGACAACAGGCAATTTCTGCTCTGAAGGAGTGGGAATTTTCTGAAAAGAATAAAAATATACCAATTTTTAGTTCAACAGACACCGAGTACAATATGCCAAGATAGTTACCTCCAAGGCAACAAGATTACTTATTTACATCAAAAGGGAAGGACAATGAGATCATTGATTAGTAATCACTTTTTGACTACATGAGGGAAAAGCATGGAGAACAAATTTTGTCCCCAGATTACAGCCATCATTTGCTTGCAACAAATGGGAAGCTGCATCTTAATTAGCCTATTTACTTCCTCTGATTGGTAGCTGCAGTGGCCTTTTCTGCTACCTGGCATTTTAACTGACAATGTCAGAGTCTGGAGATCTTCTGCATGTAAAGCATTTCATACCACACTTGTAGGCCATTCTCAGAGTTGTGGACTTCCAGAGAAGAAATGCTAAACTGATGATTACAATTAAAGAACCATTTAAATTTAATTTACTAATAACAAATGGAACAAAATATGTCAATAATGGATGTATTGAAGGATATTTGTAAACAATGGACCCAGAAGTTAATTTTAATTGTGTCTACCATATAGATTGTATTTTAAAAAGGTTATGAAAGAGGAACAAATTTTACTGGACAAGGCTGAAACTGATCTGAAAGTGGATTTAAAAATGACAGGCTGCAAGAATGATATGAAAGGTGCGACACTGGATATACCAATGAAACCCGCCTTGTCTTAACAATTAAAGAGGATATATAAATAAACCAAAAGAGTGATCTGGGTAACTGTTCTATAATGGATTTACAATGAAAATTGTTAAAGCTTTGGAGAATTTTGTGAGAAGGGACAAAGGAAAAATGAAATCAAGTTCTAATATATTATTTGAATGGATTAAAGATCCAGATTGTTTAAAGGGAAGGAATATAAAGTTTATTTGATCAAGATTAAAATAGCTATATTATCATCTCTGGTAACCCTTAATGGATCTTTGCTGATCAGGACTGAATGAAAAGGTTTTAAGGATTTGTTTGTAGATAAAGAAACATGAAATTTCAGAAGAGAATCTTTGTTGTATTTCAAGAAGTGTTAAGTTACATTGTTTATAGTTATGATGCTGGGAAAGTCATTTCTTTATATGCTTTTCTTTTTCTTTACTATTTTTTATTTTTATTGCATTATTTTTTTTCTTTTTATTCTTTTTAGTTTGCATTAGTTTTTCATCTTTTTAATTGTAATAAAATTACTATTAAAATATATAGGCCATTCTCAAACTCAGAATGCCCAGAAGGTCCATTTTACAATATTTTGCAACTAATACTTAGTACTGATCAAATCTTAGGTCTGATTTAGGATGCTTGTGTACTAGTAAACTTTCATCTAAATGCCAAAATGTAATGCACAGGTCGCCAGACCAGAAGAAGAGGGAAGGAGAAGATGGAACTGAGAAATCAACACTTAAAACTTGCTTAATATCCCATTGCAGGAGAAGGATACAGCAATGCGCTGGCTTTCCATCTTCAACAATATAGCTGACCAGCTTTATTACCCCTGCGAGCATGTGGCCTGGGCTGCTGATGCTGAAATTATCCATGCCAACTCAAGTAGGTGGTGGACACTCAGTACAACTCTCTGGGGCTTTTCTCTGCTGCTGGGGATTGCAAGGTAAGGAGTAGAGGAGGGGGAGGGAGGGCGAGAGGGAGGAAGGGAGAAGACAATGATTACTTGGAATCTAATTCCTCAAAGTACTTGAATAATTGGGACTCAGTTTACCATTCCTCCAAGCTTGATTCCGATTGAGAAAGTTTTCATGTTTTCCTCTTTCCATATATCTGGAGTATCAAGAAGGCTCTCTAGTATCACAGAATTCAAGCAATATTAAGGACAGGGAACTCTTTTTGCTTCAGAAATATGGGCTGCAGCTAAAAATTTGGTCTTTTATGTTCTCATTCCAGATCTCTCAGAATTTTATTACTCCTAAGAAGAAAGCAGCATACAGAATCCAGGTATGACATCTTGCCCTGAAAGCATTTTTTTTCTCGCCAATTAAGAGGGATACTCTTATTTGGCATACTGGCACACATTGGAACACTTTCCAGATTAAGGGAATTTGTTTTAAATTTTCCTTGTTCTTTGCCTTCCCTCCCTCCCTCCCTTCCTTCTTTACTTACTTACTTAGTGTCTGCTTCCAAAACTTAGTTAATAAATCAAGCTATGTTTTTGGATTATGCTGCTGTTCTTTTATGGTACAAATCAATACATAGTCCAGTTAGTACACATTTATTATTCTGTTTGGAACAAAAGTAGAACTTTAGCTTATCCCCACATGAGGATTTCTTCTTGAATGCTTCAGTTGTTGCCAGGAGTAAAAACATATTTCAGGACAAGTATAAACCATTAGTTTTCTTCTTCCTCCCATGCTAGTAGGAACAAATAAGCTCAGCGAATATATTTTTCTCTTCATGTCTTGTTTGCAGAGACTTCAATCAGAAAACAAGGGCTGAAATGCACATACAAGCCTTGACCATCATCAGCAACCTGGTTGACCTTGCCAATGCCATCCACTGGTTGCCTCCAGGAATTCTTTGGGCTGGAAAGTTTTCTCCATGGTTTGTGGGCCTGATGGGAAGTATTTCTTCCTTCATTGGGATCTATCAAAACTATGCAGGGGGCAGTTGTGCAGCAGTTTGAACAGCAACTTCACAGTATTGGATTGAATGGAGAAAGGGGGCTATCGCAGGAATTCATAAAATGTTACATAATCTCTGTTTAAATGGGGAGAGTAATTCCTATTATGGTGGGGGCTAGATTAGCATTAGGTTCTTCTATTAAAACAGGGTGCTGCTTCTATATAAATCATAGGCACTTTCCTGGTTGTTAAGCAAAACTGTTCTTACTAAATGGGCATTTTTTTTTTGCTGGAAATTGCAAGAAAACCCAGAAACTGATGAAAACATCACAAATTGTGGTCACATGTTCACAGGATGCTACAATCAGTCATAAATGGAAGCCAACTGCCTTGCGCCCAAATCACAGGAACGCAGGGAGAGGGGTGGCAGTCATAAACTCAAGGATCAGTTCTATGTAGCTGTTTTTAACAGTCTGTTGTAATTTCAACAAGGGGCAGGTGTCTGCCCTGTCTAGTTAAATAATTTGGCTTTTTTATCTGAAGAATACAACCTTGTTATATATGTACATCATTCTAATGTGAAACAATTAGGGCTGATAATAAAAGATACAATTTTAACAATTTTCCTTAGCTGATTGGCTCCGTTGATATAGCCCTGAACATTTATCTTTTCATCAAATGTTTATCTGGAGTATGCAATCCTATATTCAGTTTCAGAGAGCCAGTTTGGTGTAGTGGTTCAGGCATTAGGGGAGAAGCTAGACCATTGATGGCGAACCTTTTAGAGACCGAGTGCCCAAACTGCAACCCAAAACCCACTTATTTATTGTCGGGTGCCGGGTGGGCGTGGCCCACTGGGTGGGCGTGGCCGTGGTGCTCATGGCAGACTGGGTAGATGTGGCCAAGGTGGGCGTGATCACCTCGATATTGCTCGTGGGGAGGGACGCATGTGGGGGCCGGGCAGGGTTGGGGGAGATCCAGAGGGTCTCTGGCGAGTGGGGTGGTGGGCAAGAGGCTCGTCCTGCGGGGTGAGGCAAGGCGAGACAGGGCGGGGGTGCCATTGTTGCAAGGAAAGGCAAAGGCTGGGCAGCTGCTGCCTGACACCATTGGCCCCCGCACACAGAGGCCAGTGAGCGCATGGGTGCTGGGATGCATCTGGCCACGTGGGACCTCGGCGAGTTAGCGGGTGGCTGGTTGAAGAGGGACAGTTGGCATCTCCGGGGCATGGTTCTGAGTGCCGCCTCTGGCACGCGTGCCATTGGTTCGCCACCACTGAGCTAGACCATGAGTTCTAATCCTGAATTAGGTACAAAGCCAGTTGGGTACCTTGGGCCGGTCACTTTCTCAGCCCTAGGTTGGAGGCAATGGCAAACAACTGCTGAAAAACCTTGCCAAGAAAGCTACAGGGACTGGTACAGGCAGTTGGCAGGAGTCAACACTGGCTAGAAGGCACCAAAAAAGCAAGCAAATAAACTCACATTCCACTTCAGAAAAATCTTAGATGGCAGCAGCAGTAGCTGCCCAATTGACAATACAGTGGAGGCATTGCCACTTCTGGACATAATTATGTTTTCACACCATAGAACCTCTTTCATGATTCACTCCTTTCGCGCTAGTTTCTATGACTTTCATCCACATCCTTGAATTTCGGGGCCAACACATCTGATCTCCAACACGTAAGAGCTTAGCTTGCTAGCCATTAAGAAGTCCTGAAACCCTCTCTTAGACAAGAATCCTAAAAAAAGGATTCAACAAAGATCTATATATCTACCAGGATTATAATTCATTAAGTATCTAATGTGATATGAAGGAGACCATAGTTTGTTTTGTTTTGGCAACAGCCAACACAATCATATCAGAGAAGAGCAACAAAGATGATCAGGGGACTGGAGGCTAAAACATATAAGGAACAGTTGCTGGAATTGGGTATGTCTAGTTTAATGAAGAGAAGGCGAGGAGGGACAGGATAGCAGTCTTCCAATATCTCGGGTTGCCACAAAGAAGAGGGAGTCAAGCTATTTTCCAAGGCGCCTGAAGGCAGGACAAGAAGCAACAGATGGAAACTAATCAAGGAGAGAAGCAACCTAGAACTAAGGAGAAACTTCCTGACAGCCATTTGTCCGAAATGGTATAGGGTTTCCTGCCTGAGCAGAAGGTTGGACTAGATGACCTCCAAGGTCCCTTCCAACTTTATAGTAGTAGTAGTAGTAGTAGTAGTAGTAATTTCAAACAAAGCTAACACTTCAAAAGTAGGACACATTTTAAGGATCACTTTATGATTTATGGTTGCATGGATTGAGTCAAACAGATTCAGGTTTCAGTTGCATCTGAGATTCCACAATTATCCTACAGTAGAGAAACAGTTGCAATCATTGCTTAAAAAATAGCCATCATTTGGTGTGCCAGGATCGCATTTGATCATAACAGTAGTGCACAAATTTGACAAAAAATATTAAACATTGCAAACCATCAACTTTACAAATAATTAAAAAGGAGAGTTACATAGAATGATTGCTATGTAATAACCACTAAAAGAGGATCTAAGTACAAAGTTGCTAGGATTTTGTCTAAAGAGATAGTTGCTGGGATCCTTCAACTTAAAAATCTGTTGAAGAAGCTTCAGGCTGACGTAGTCACACAAGAGAAGTAAAGCACAAAATGAGCTTTTTAGACTTAAGCCACTAGAGGCAGAGGACTTCTCGATAAAGTTTTAGCCACTTCTTACTACAGAGAAACCTTTTTGTTCATCAGTAAGACAGAAAGAAATTAAAAATGCCATCCATATTCTAAAGTGCTTGGGTTCGGTCTCACACCATCCATATATATCAGAAAACACTGATAAGCATGGCACAAATGGTCAGTCAGAATGCAATTTACAAACATTGCAAGTACAATAACATTATTTAAAGGATTTTTTTTTTTTTGTGATGCAGCTGATAGATCTACACAAAGAGCTTAAAAGCTAATTCAAACAAACCATTTTCGTTCACGGCTGTCTACTGTAATCTTAATGACATCATTATCAGATTCTGGATGATGGTTTTCTAAGCTGGGAAGGAGGAGGGTCATATTAAAGTGAATGGCACCATGGTTTCTGCCATGCGTTGGACTATAATAGGCCCTGCTTACAAAGCCGGTCCTTCTACCTCCCAACTTCAAAATGGCTCTAAAAGGAAACCAACATCTTCCTACAGTCGAAAGAACATAGGCCCCATAACAAAACAACAGCTGAAGTACGAGTGTTTCACCTTGAGACAGTATTCATATGCAACAAGGTGGAAGAAATCAATCTTTTCCATAACTCACTCTTAAAACAAGCACTTGTGATGCCAGGACTACACCATGTAAATTTGGGGAAAAGTTAAAACTTCAGCAGCTTGCATCTCCAGTATTTTTGTGACGTGGGGAACAGACCTACAGAAGCAAGGCAATGATGTTCCCACAGGGAATGCAATCTTTTGGTGAGAAAGAAGCTCCACTCAAAATGTCTTGATCAGTTATTAAGTTAAGAATTTCTTCCATTTCCTATGTTTGAACAATCGACCAGAAACAAATTGGCATCCAATGTAATTCTGACCTGTGTTCCCCCCCCCCCCAAGCCCCCACCCCATCCAAAATATCCAGAAACGGTCTGGAAAATTGAGCCTACTGCTGTGTGAGCTAGTTAGTGCAGCGAGGGTCTTCAGCAGGAACAAAAATCCAGGACCCAGTTTGCACTGGAGGATTTCCCTTCAACTGAAGGAAGAAAAATGAGTCCTCGGGGGAGATGAGGTGCTTCGTGCAACCAGCCAAGGCTTATCTAATTCCCTCAGATTCCCTCCATAAAGTCCCTAATACCATCAACATCTTTGTTTGGTCCTAGACAGAGAGGCCCAGGGCCACCTTATGGTTGAATGTGAAGAATAAGTTAAGGGCCTTCTCGTACCCTACCCCTCAAGGTTATTTTAAAAGCTTCCCTTGGAACTCAAAAGAAAACTAGAACAATGTTCTAGTCCAAGGAACAATGTAAGCAAAGCCAAGATTGTGATGTGAAGCCCCGTAACAATATCCTCATTTTGAATCATTTCCGGGGAAAATTCTTGCAGCTCTGCCTTCAGAATATGCAGCTGAGGCAAGGCAGAGCATTCTGACATCCATGTGGGCAAAGAAGCAGACTTTCTTGGTGTGGATCAGAAAAAAATAACATCATCTTTGCTAGCGTCATCCAGGGCAGATGGAAGGACATGAATGCTGTTGGGCTTTATGGGACCAACAGAGGTAGGTGGTGCTTCCAGATGGCTGCTCTCAGCAGCACCAGCCAGTTCTGCCGGAAAAAAAGTAGAGAAAAGGATCATTCTGCAGCATAGTAATAGATCAGCTACCCCAGATAAGCTTGTCGGTGTGTTTTACCTGGAAGGAAGGCAACATTCTGGCTATGCAGAAAGACGGGACTAGCAGAACATCTGTTTCGAGACTGAGATTCTTCCTTGGTAACCATCTTGGAAACTGGGAACGGCCTCACATCACCTAATGTTACAAATAGAAAGAGAAAAATTCAGCTGATTGATGAGAGTAAAGGAATCACTGGGCATTGAATCACAGCTCTTGTCAACTAAATAAGACTTCTTTGTCAACAATAACTAATTTTAATAAACGCACGTTGAGAGAGATCCATGAAATGTATTAAGGCAGAATCTGATTACTTTGGTTTGGGGGTACTGGATCATGATCTGAACCCAGCCATTATTATTTGTATGTCTTACTTTTGATTATGATATTAGGAGCACTATAATTAATATTCAACAAACTGGTCAAGGTAAACCATGGTTTACTACAGAGAAAGACATCAGCTTTGCAACTAGGAACTGTAATGTTTTAAACTTCTAGCAGTCTCAAGGAACATGGTGGCATAGTATCTAATTTGTGTGAAAGAAATCTGGCCCGTTCCCAGTCACCTCAGACTCGCCCACAAAATTGGCAGAAAACACATTCAAAAGAGGAGCAAATTTTTGCCACAAAAAACCTGTCTATCTTGCTCTATGGAGTAGAGAGCTGGTCTCTGACAGAAGGCCACCTGAAGAGACTAGAAGCATTTGAAATGTGGATTTACAGGCGGCTGTTACGTATAAACTGGGTTGAAAAGATCAGAAAGGAGGAGGTGATAAGCCGCCTGGGAAAGCCAAGGGAAATCATCAAAATAATTAAAAAACGAAAATTAGAATATTTCGGACATGTGATGCGACACCCAGAAAAATACGGCATACGCCATTTAATCCTCCAGGGAAAGATTGAAGGCAAACAAGGTCCAGGCAGAAGAACATCGTAGCTTCAAAAGAGATTGGTTTGGACAAAACTCAGCAGCACTTTTTCGTGCGGCTACTGATAAAAACAGGATCGCCAACATGATTGCCAACGTCCGATAACGGATATGGCACAAGAAGAAGATCCACCCATAACATACATTATTTTACAGTTCTCAGAATAACAAAGGCAGAACATTTTAATGGGCTAGTAAAGTAGATTTTCCTCATCTGATAATTTCCAGAATTCCCTTCTCTGCATATAAAGTTGGGGATTGAAGTTCTAGCACAACAGGAAGGTAAATGGCTGAGGGAGGCTATAACAGATATTGAGGAAATTCAACAAATGGAACACTGCCATTCAGGACTTCTATCTAGGTTTCAGTACCATCATTAGTTTCCATCACGGCTCCTAGCCTATCTCTGTCCGAGGGTTCTCTACAACTTACTTGAACTTTCAGTCCTGTGGGAGGTCACCTTGACAGCCTTTCCACCTTTTTCCTTGCTGCCCTTGGTCAGAATGGCCAGCTTGGTGGGGATCTGCTGCTGCACAGCTGCCTGTTTTTGGCTCTGGTTGGTGGTACTCAACAAGTGGATGGGCACCTCATTCTTGAGGACCAGAATGGGGCGGCCTCCATCCAATGCAGCACTGTCCTTTCGCACCAATTCTCCTCGCTCCGGGTATTCCATCCCAGTGACGCTGGCTCGTCCACCTGGCTTTGTAGGCAGCGAGGTTCCTTCCATACCGTCTCCATTGAAGCTGACAGAGTGGCTCAGGGCATGCGCCTGGGAAAAATGGAAGATATTGGTCATTTACCTCTACAGCAGGGATGTCAAACTCGCAACGTCGCGTGACGTGCTGCAACGTATCGCAACTTTTTTGTCATTGCAGGCAGTGGGGTGGGCATGGTTTTGCTATGATGCATCCGGCCCACGGGCCGGCAGTTTGACACCCCAGTTTGACACCCCTACTCTAGAGGAATCAAACTTCTAAGATCAGGGTCTTGAAGGTAAGAGTGGAAAGAAGTGGGAGTGGCAGCAGATTATCAATGCTCAGGTTTACTTTTCAAAACTCCCAGTCTACAGCAGTGCCCTATTACAGCAAGTATAGAATGTACAGGTTTTATTGACAGATTCTATAATAGTAATAGCAGTAGCACCTAGACTTATATACTGCTTCACAGTGCTTTATAGCACTCTCTAAGAGGTTTACAAATATCAGCCTATTGCCCTCAACAATCTGGGTCTTCCTTTTACCGACCTCGGAAGGATGGAAGGCTGAGTCAACCTTCAGCCGGTGAGAATCGAACTCCTGGCAGTGAGATGAATTAGCCCGAAATTCTGCATTATAACCACTGCGCCACCAGGGATTTCCTGGTTACTAATGCTTCTAATTATTAGAGGCAATAAATGCAGCTTCCTTATAGAGGTAGTCCTCAACTTCCAACCACAATTGGGACCAGAACTGCCATTGCTAAGCAAGGTGATTGTTAACTGGGTTGTGCCTGATTTTATGACCTTTTTTTTCCTATGGTTGTTAAGTGAATCACTGGAGCTGTTCTTGCAGTCATTAAGCAAATCCGGCTTCCCCCACTGACTTTGCTTGTCAGAAGCTGGGAAAGTTGCAAATGGTGATCATACGAACCCAGGATGCTGCAACCGTTGTAAATAGATACAAGTCACTTTTTGCACTGCTGTTGTAACTTCAACTGGTCGCTAAACGAATGGTTGTAAATCGAGGGCTACCTGTATCTTTCCAATAGGCCAGGGGTCTTCAAACTTGGCCCTTTTATGACTTGTGGACTTCAACTCCCAGAATTCCTCAGTCAGGCACACATGCCTGGCTGAGGAATTCTGGGAGTTGAAGTCCATAAGTCATAAAAGGGCCAAGTTTGAAGACCCCTGCAATATAGGCATTCCAACACTCACTTGGCCTGCCTCAGGCGAGAAGGCACCCGAGATTAGATGCGGCTTCTTCAGCTTGCGCAGCTGTTCCAGACGTTCCCGCTCCTTCTCAACGGCTCGCTGGGATTCCCGCAGCCTCTCCAAGTCATGCTGGTAGGCCTCTCGCTGCCGTTCCAGCTCCTCACGTTCTTGGTTCAGACGCTCCGTCAGCTGCCGTGCCGCCTCCTCTCGCTCCTGTAACTGGTTCTTCTCCACCTCCATCTGCCGCCGCTGGCGGTCACAGTCTCGTTCCCAGCGCTGCTGCTCAGTCTTCAACTGGCTCTGCAATTTCTGCACATTGGCCAGTTCCTCCCGCTGCTTCTCAAAATTGCGCTGCCTCTCCTGTTCCAGCAGCAAATTCCCTCGCGTGGATTGCAGCCGGAACTGCTTCTGCAACTCAATGTAGCTGTCTTGCTGGGCCGTCACTGCCTAAGAAGGGGGGGGAAGGTGAACCCCTGAGCTTTCCCCATCAAAAAAACTAGGAGAAGGGAAAACCCGCAGGTCAGGTGCCAAGAGTTACAGTTCTGTGGAAATGCTCCAAGAGAGATAGCTTTAACTATGTCCCCTTAATGCTCCAGCAGAAAGTTTAGCTCCTCCCCACTTATTTATCATAATTCTCCCTCCAGAAAAATCCTCTCAAAATGAATTACAAGTAACAAACACTTGTAAGTAAAACTATAATCATTATTCTTATTTAAAACAAAAGGGCAGTTAATGGTTACAGCCCTAGGGAGGAGGTAAAGGAATAATGAGTTCAGGAATAAACAAAAATCTTAAGTCTCTCCCTTGTCTTTCAGAGTTGTGGAGAAATTTTTTAAAACATGGTCATGTCATACAAGACACTAAATAGATCCGAAGAGTTTTTAACGAAGGCTAGACTGGAAAAGGTACTTTCTTCTCCCTCCTTCTTCAAGACTTCTCCACTCAGCTCAGAGCTCATCTTATTGTTTTGCTAGGCCTTCTTGCTCCACCAACCAAATCATAAAAGCCCAAAAATTGAAGGGTAGTGGTGAGAAAGGACAGTAGCACTTTACCTGGAGACTAAGCAGCAATTGCAAGAGTGTCTGTATTCTCTGAACAAGCTGAGGGAAAATACAAAGAGGAGGGTGTTACCTAACATCCGTCTTCATGAGCTCTGCCGTTCATGCAAGAAAGTATCATTAACAAACAACTTATTTCTACATATAGGAGGCCATAAATAGGCCCAAGCAGGTTAAGTTTCTTCCATCAGAACCCCAGTCTCTCTCTTCCCCCCCCCCCGCCCCTCCTTCTCGAAATCCACTTTGGGATGTATGTAACTGCTCTGCAAATGTAACTATGCTATCATATCAGTCATCAATGGCTGGGGAAAAAACAAATGTTTGTTTGGGCACATGATTTTAAAATACACATCAGAAACACCCCAAATCCCAGAACTTGCACGTGAGTTATAATTTTTAATGTATCAGAAAAGAATAAATATTAACTAAATTGAAAATGACCTGGGTTTAATTTAATTAACTGTATTTAATGCTTTTAGATTCTTTTGGGAGTGGACAGCCTAATAATAACAGTAACAATAACAACAATGCAACTAAATAAAATCAAATTTGGGTTTTGACCTGGTTTTTCCCATTCTCTGGAATAAGGCAGTTAGCATAGCAAAGACCCAAAGCAGCCCTCAAACTGAAAAAAGCATCGCTCTCCTGCTCGCCACCATCATGGAGGAAATAATTAGCCAATACCTCTGATTCAGTCCCCAGCAGTGGGTGCAAGCTGCTGTGATGCTCCATTCTTGTGTTACTGACCTGACAGGAGGGAAACAGAGACGCTGGGGTCACATTACATACCAAACTAAGCTAAAATGGGGTTGACAATGGTTCAGCCCACTGTAGAAACCCAGCCATTATCTTAGCATGCCTTGGGAGCAGAACCATTACATTAAGTCGTAATATACAGTACTTAATTGTTCAGGCACATTATGTGAACACGGGAACTAGATTTGTATATTCAATGCATTGTTCAGCCAAATACATAAGACCAAAAGGTTTACAAGGGAGGGCTTATATCATTCCCCAATAGCAGCCTGTACAGTTCAAAAGACTTTTAAATGTCCAGAGTCTTCCCATCGTATTTGCTCGTTCATAATTCTGTAAAACAGGAAACACTGTGAAATACTGGCTGTCCAAAGCCATTGTAGTAAGTTTGGCAGTGGACTGGGGATGTGAAGGAAGCCTTTCCAGACCTCAAACCAGAGATATACTGTATATTTGCTGAAAGGTAAGGGGAGCAACATAATGTGTCTTTTTGAGGACAACAGGTGGACATAAGGTGGTAACATCAGAAAAGACATGGCCATGTCATTTGTTCCTTTTTTATTGTGGCAAAGCCCACAAAAAGTTCTTAAGTGAACCAAAATACTCAGTAACCCAAGAAGAAAAAACAAGAGCCTACAACAAATATAAGGTTTGTAATAGCCACACAGACAAGCAGATCAGAGTGCATTTATGAATATCAATAACAGTCAGAAGACACAATGAAAACTCACAACACATGGACAGACTCAATCATGGTTTCAACTGAAAAACTATAAGCATTCTAGATCAAGCAAAATCCAAAAATGCTAAGGAATTTCTGGAAACTTGGCATTTAGACAAATCTGCCATCAATAGGCACATAGAGATAAACCACATTTACATAACATTCAAAAGAGAATATAAATGCTACAAACAAAACAGAGGGGAACACAATCCTTTCCAACAACCAACACCCAAATAAGCAGGGATTAACACCATACAAACAATCAAACAAACAGAAAACAATATCATGATCAAGAAACTACTAAGGAGAAAGAAAACATAGTCCTACCAACACTGGTAGTTGCTATTGATATTCATGAATGCACACTGGTAGGGAAAGCTACTGTATATAAACAGGAAGCAAATCCCAGACTCCCTAGCAATAATGATGTTATCTACTCAGGTAATAAAACATCTGCAAGCAAACAACTAAACTCAAGAGAGCACCAAGGACTCCACAGGATGAAAGGCTGCAATGTGCACAACAGTTACATAAATATGCTCATTTCATTCCAGTGTGTATGCCTTTCAGATTTTTCAACTGCTAAAGGGCAGGAAGAAAAAGCCTGACGTTTTTCAAACTGAGCTAAAAACTTCGTGGGAAAAAGAAGTTCATAGCCATCACTCTTTCCAACAAGGTCAGGGAATAAATACAGAGACTTTGGAGAGCAAATTCCACCTACCAAACACAGCCCTTCCTCTCCAGCAGATGGGAGTTCTTGTTGCACTTGCTCTGAATTGGCTGGGTTGCCTCGCTGATCTGGCACCCTGGGCTCTCCACCACAGACTTTCTTCTTGAAGCTACCAGCTGAAAGATAAAAGGCAACCATTGGCATACAAATTATCCAAACTCTGTTGGAAAAGCTCTCATTACCCCTAACCTACAGATGTGTTTGGACGGCAAGATTCAGAATTCCCAATATTTCAAAACTCTTCTTTTTTCTGTTTTTAACCTATTTGCCCTGAGTTACATAAATAAATCTAAGACCCATGGAAATTAAACTCTCTGTTTGTTTTTTTACTTTATATATGGTTTATATTTGCGCTTTTATTGTATTGTAAGCCACCCAGTGTTGTTTGGATGATGAGATGGGCCGCATTTAACATTAATTGGGGGGGGGGAAGACCACTGCAAGATAATTCAACAATGATGGAGCTCCTGCAGAGACTGAAACAGTACAAACTAGGCTCACCAAGTAGGCAGGATTTAAAACATTTCCATACAATGGCATTCTGTCTGCAGTGGGAGCAGTAATCACAGGTCACTCATTCCTTTATCAGATCTGGAGGCTAAAGCATATAAGGAACGGCTGCTGGAACTGGGTAAGTCTAGTTTAATGAAGAGAAGGATGAGGGGGGACATGATAGCAGTCTTCCAATATCTCAGGGGCTGCCACAAAGAAGAGGGAGTCAAGCTATTCCTCAAAGCGTCTGAAGGCAAGACAAGAAGCAATGGATGGAAACTAATCAAGGAGAGAAACAACCTAGAACTAAGGAGAAACTTCCTGACAGTGAGAACAATTAATCAGTGGAACAACCTGCCTCCAGAAGCCATGAATGCTCCAACACTGTAAGATTTTAAGAAGAGACTGACAGCTAGATGACCTCAAAGGTCCCTTCCAACTTTATTATTATTATTATTATTATTATTATTATTATTATTATTATTATTATTATTATTATTGATCATCGCACAGTCAGCCAGATGTTCAGACTGGATTTGGCATTTTGTCTACCTATCGAGTCCTTACCCAGGACCTGGGATAGGCAGATGTGGATGTTTGATGGTATTACAGATATCGTCGCAGGATGGAAGCAGTTCCTAATAAGGCCGCCTTTTGCAATTGACTAATAGCGAATTTGTCAATGCCAATGGTGTTCAAGTGGTGCTCCAGTTGTTTTGGGATTGCACCCAAGGAGCCTATCACTATTGGTACTACCCTTGCTTGCTTTTGCCACAGTCTTTCTATTTCTATTTGTAGGTCTTTGTATTTTGTTATCTTCTCCAGTTCTTTCTCTTCTATTCTGCTGTCTCCAGGCACTGCCACGTCCACTATACAGACTTTTTTGTCTTTCTTATCGACAATTGTTAAGTCTGGGGTGTTATGTTGCAGGTGATTGTCTGTTTGAATTCTGAAGTCCCAGAGCAGTTTAATTTTATCATTTTCTATGACTTTCTCTATTTTATGATCCCACCAGTTTTTGCTTACAGGCAAATGATATTTTTTGCAGATCTTCCAATGCACCATTGTTGCTACTTTGTCATGCCGCTGCTTGTATTCAGTCTGTGCAATCTTCTTACAACAGCTTACCAGGTGGTCCACTGTTTCCTCAGCTTCTTTGCATAGGCGGCACTTACTATTATTGATCATCGCACAGTCAGCCAGATGTTCAGACTGGATTTGGCATTTTGTCTACCTATCAAGTCCTTACCAAAGACCTGGGATAGGCAGATGTGGATGTTTGATATTATTACAGATATCGTCGCAGGATGGAAGCAGTTCCTAGTAAGGCCGCCTTTTGCAATTGACTAATAGTGAATTTATCAATGCCAATGGTGTTCAAATAGTGCTCCAGTTGTTTTGGGATTGCACCCAAGGCGCCTATTACTATTGGTTCTACCCTTGCTTTGCCTTTGCCACAGTCTTTCTATTTCTATTTGTAGTCTTTGTATTTACTACTACTACTACTACTACTACTACTACTACTACTACTACTACTACTACTATTATCTCATGCTCCTTCCTCTGTTCCTCCTTTTCACAGACCTGTCATGGCACTGTCGTATCCTCCAAAAGTCTCAGCTCGCCTCAGCGACCCAGGCCCACTAGGATCTTCAGGACGAGAGCTTGCACTGGCCAGCTGGGTGAAGATCAGGTTCTGAAGGCTCTCCACTAGAAGAGAGCAGCCAGGAAGGCAGATGAATACGAAAATAATGAACAAACAGATTCATTATGCTCTACCCCAATTGTTTCTTTTGGGTATGTTTGTGGATTTTAATGTTAAAGAAACTATTTTAATGTTGAATTTAATAACAGCAGCAAGATTACTGGTGGGTCAATATTGGAAGAAGGATACTCTGCCTTCTTTAGAAGAATGGGTATTTAAGGTTTCTAATTTAGCAGAAATGGCTAAAATTTCTGCTTATTTAAAGGACCATTCACAAGAGAGATATTTTAATGTATGGAGAAGTTGGATAGAATATGTTCAGAAGAAGTATGGAACTACAAAGTTTCATTTATTTTATGAGTAATGAATTTGTTTATAAATTTATGATGTTAAAGTTTGAAGAGAGTTAAGGGTTAATATGATTTTGTTCATTGTATAATTAGTAAACTTAAATAGATTATGTTTAGTATGTTTGTATAATCCTGTACTTTACTCTGGGAAGTCGGGGTGGGGGGAGGGGGTGGGGGAGGGGGGTGAGGGTGGATGGGTCGAAGTTTAAGTAGTTCAGATAAAGTAGAAATAGTTTTACCGTATATAATATTAATGTTTGAATGTGGAGAGAGGAATTGCTCGGGCATTTCCCCTGGACTGCATCCGGAGTGAGAAGAAGAAGGCGAGAAGTAACTATCAAGGTTGAGGAGGAGGAGGAGAGGGGGTAAGTGAGGAAGAAGAGGGAAGAAGTTGGTTAGTGGGTGGGTGCGGTTTGGGGGAAAATGGGTGGGCAATACCGAAAGTGGTGTGTATCAATTTGTTTTATTTTTTATCTGAAGTATTTTTAAGATTGTAATGTATTGTAAAATTGAAAATAAAAACTTTTACCAAAAAAAAAAAACCAGATTCATTATGCTCTCCACTATACATGCTGAATGTACAGGTCATGTGATCCCCTTTTGCGCCCTTCTGACAAGCAAAGTCAATGGGGAAGCCAGATTCACTTAACAACCACGTTACTAACTTAACAACTGCAGCAATTCACTTAACAATTGTGGCAAGAAAGATCGCAAAGCGGGACAAAGTTAATTTTACCACTGTCTTGCTTAGCAACGGAGAGTTTGGGCTCCGTTGTGATCCTACGTCAAGGACTTCCCGTATTAGGTGGTCCTATCGTATAATATTTTTCCTGTTCTTTCATCTCCAGCGCACCCACCTTCTGTCACTGCCTGCTTGAGGATGGACTCTCCCTGCAGGTTCTCTGGGGAATCCACTCTGTTGCGGAAGCGGGAGCCAACAGCCATGTCCTCAAAACCATTCACATTTGCCATCTCCTGGTAGATCTGCTGCTTCTCCTGTAGGCTTTGCACGATCTGATCATCTTTCATGCTCAAACGCTCTAGAAGGTGGAGGAGGAGAAGGGAGAAGGGAAGAGACAGCTCTGTGTCATTATGCTTGGATGGTGGCTACTGCAACCACAGCAAGCCCAGCAACCCATTCGTGAGGCACTGTTTGCAAGATGACAGAGAGAAAGACAGTCCCTGATTTACAACCACAGTTATGACCAAAAGTTGTTAAGTGAGTTGTATCCAATTTTATGACTTTTTGCCATGGTTGTTAAGCGAATCACTGCATTTATTATACCGTAAGCTGCTCAGAGTTGCTTCCGACAGTGAGATGACTGGTATATAAATTTAATCAATCAATAAAATCACACAGTCGTTAAGCGAATCCAGTTTCCCCAATTGCTTGTCAGATGCCAACTGGGAAAGTTGGAAATGGCAATCACGTGACTCCGGACACTGCAACCATTGTAAATATACGCTGGTTGCCAAGTGCCTGAATTTTTATCAGTGATCATGGGGATACTGTGATGATCGTGTGAGAACCAGTGATGTCACTTTTTTCAGTCCCATTGTAATTTTGCTCACTAAATAATGGTTGTAAGACGAGGACTACCTCTAGTGCTTTTACAGATCAGTTCACAACTGAAGGGTCCGATAGTAACTTCCCTTATCTTCCTCTTCCTCTAAGAGATTGCCCATTTTGCAAGGAAGGAAAGAACAAGTCCCCAAAACTAGGCAAGCCCACCCTCATGTGTACCTCTTATGATGTACAGTTTTGCAAGACGAGAGCCTTTACCTTGGAATTCTTTCAATTTTGCAGTTCTCACTTCAGCCTGCTTTTTTTCCTCTTCTGGATCGGCAAGGACACTATTCTCTTCATCAGGACAACTGCAAAGAAATATAAACCCTTGAAGCCCTGGTCAAAAATGGCCCCAACGTCATAGTTGGCTGGAAAGAAGACTCTTTTCATGAACCCAATTTTGCACCCACTTGTCCCACTCAAGCTGGGGAAATAAAATTCGGGTGAGCAAAAAACCACCAAGACTAATCCAAACAAGACCACATAGAAGTAGTTCTCACTTACCGACCAGTTATTCAGAGACCGTTTGAAGGAGGCTTCAAACCAATCCTCAAAGTTCTGGCTATTACAGCACCCCGAGGTCCCATTATTGCAGTGTTTCTCAACCTTGACAATTTTAAGGCACGTGGACTTCAATTCCCAGAATTCCACAGCCAGCAATGCTGGCTGTGGAATTCTGGGAGTTGAAGTCCACATGCCTTAAAATTGTCAAGGTTGAGAAACACTGCATTACTGCATCTCAGGCATTTGGCAATCAGCTCACCACTTATCCTTTATGGTGATATGATCCCATTTGCAATCTTCCCTGCCAGCTTTCCCGTTTGCAATCTTCCCTACCAGCAAGGAAGGTGGCAAGTCACGCCCAGTAAATGACTTGCACCCTTCCTTGCCCAGCAGCAGGCCTCTCTGGCTTCGCACCATGCCTTGTGGGCCATTTGCACAACCTCCCCATCTGGCAACAGCCACTCCTGGCCTCACCGTGCTCATGCCGTGCACCTTTCCTGCCTGTCGCAGAGCCTGTTTGCAAGCTCCCCGGGTCTTAATTAACAACTAGAGATCCTCGCTTAATGATGACAGTGGGGAGCATTGGGATTGTTGTTGCTGAGCAGTCACCGGACCTTGTGCCGGACGACCCCATTGCTTAGCAACAGAAATTCTGGCCCCAGTTACTGTCATTAACCAAGGACTACTTTTATTTCCTTATGATGGCAAAATAACAGGCATGGAAAGAGCCACTTAGTCCGATACCAACTCAATACAGGAGAGAAACAGAACAACATGTTTTTATATGCTCACTTTTCCACTGCCCTGCGAATTTGCGTCATCCAGATATTCCTTTCCTCCTTGGAATTGGTATGAATTTCATACATCTCTGGTCCTTTCTTGGAAGCAATGATTAAAAACATGGCTCGTTCCTCATTGGCTACTTCTCGGACTATCAGTTTTTGCAAGGAAATCACTGGCGGTTTTGAGTCCTGTGAAGCAAGATACATCATCATCATCCTCGGTCCCTCTAAGGCAATCCTAAAAAGCACCAGCTATGGTTATTTCTTCTTTATACAGCACTTTGTACTTGTAAATCAGATTAATCTGGAAAGAGTGGAAGGAACTAGAAAAAGTACCAATGCTTGACTCTGATTATTTCTACCTAGCTGGAAAAGATCCTTTTCTGTCTGAAACCCCAGAGAGTTGCTGTTGGGTGGGATATATTGGGCAAGTGAGGCTAAGTCAAGTCAAATAGCTGGTTGTGTTTACTATTGAAATCCTGAAGGACTGTTGCATAGAAGACAGAGTTAAGTGCCTCTTCAATGGAACGGCTTGCATTCAGACATTGTGGGTGCTCCATCACTGGAGGTTTTTAAAGAAGAGATTGGTCAATCATTTGTCTGAAATTGGGAGTTGGACTAGAAAACTCCAAGATGCCTTCTAACTCTGTTATTTTGTTATGCTTGATAGTACTTTCACACAGGTAGTCTTTGTTTATCACAAGCAATTTGAAAGATGCACGCGCGCACGCACACACACAGAGACATATGGACACACACGGAAGAATCTGGCTTGTTAATTTGGCTCCTTTAAGGAAATACAAAACATATATAGTAAATGCAATAAAAAAATCAGTATTTTGATTTAACAGATGAAGAGGAATTTATTGCACATCTGTCAATTAACATTTGTGTAATTAATAATTGCTACTAGTAAATAAATGAATATACTAAATAAATAGGACTGCAATACAATGGAAACCAGATGCAATATATTTTTTTCTAATAAGAACTCAGCGTTGGTAAGCAAATTCAACTGTCATATTTAAAAACATATCAAAATATTCATTTTGATTGCATAATAACTAAGAGCATGCCATTTTGCTGATCAGCTCTCAAACAGTTTTTTGTAGTAATGGGACATACCTAAAATAACCTACAGGAATTTACAAAAGCTGAAGCCAGTAATTAGGGGACTGAGGTTATGATATGGTAGTTTCCTAGAATTTTCTGGGCAGAGACCCAATCAAACGAGAGTTTTTGACTGTAGCTCAGATTTATTTTTTATTACAGAAACCACAGAGAGTTCCAGGTTTTCCACACCACCCTGAATATCCTTAGCAGAGATAAATACGTACCAAAGATGCAAACATGTATTTCTGGTCTTTTTCTTGCAGTAGCAAAAGCACATCTGTCAGCAGAACAGCCAAAATATCTGCCAAAATTATTGGAAAAAGGGAAGTTGAAATCAAAATAATCCTTTCAAGTAGAACAAGCCAAGATTTTTATATTCTATCAGCTACCAAGGCACTAGTTCAAGGTCATTTGTTGCTGAATTTCTCCTTTTGGGGAATTAGTCAGAATAGTTTCATTTAAGTCCAGTACTAATGCATTTATCTACAAGCTATACTTAGCTTTGTAGGGTACAGTTTTATACTCTGATTATGTCACTGACTGAATACGGATGCTCCAATATTTTGCCATCCCAAAATACCAACCCAAGTTTCCATTTTCAGGGGACTCCCATCACTTACAGCCTGAGCACTAGTTTTAAGAATATCTGTCCACCTCACTTTGCTTTAGCTTTTCTGAGCAAATATTTATTTTGCTATTTGCCACTCAAACATTCCATTGAAAACTATACCTAGGATAATTTGAATGCAAAGGATCCTGCTCTATCTCTAATTATAAAAAGGGGGGAAATGTAACATAAAACTCTGCATCTTTTATAGCAACAGAAAACTCATTTTCAAAGTGTTTACTTTTATGATGCCAAACCAACATTGCTCAGATACAGGATTAACCAGTCAGACGGAGATGGGCTCGAAAGATTTGCAGAAAACCAAAAAAAGAAAAGAAAGGAAAAGAGAAAAACATTTCTAGAGGAGGGAAGGAGAAGGAGCTCAATGAGAACTTTAAAAAGCGACTGAGCTTCACAGGATGACTCACATCAGAGCAGAAGGCAGATAAGAAGAATTTGGGCAAGAAGTTCCTTACGTAAGATCAGCATGCCAAATTTAATCCTCCAAAGAGTAGAAAGTGCATTTATATCATGGAGTTAACATGGCACAAGCTTTGAAGTGTGAAATAGTTGGAAGTCAATTATTGATACAAAGGAAGCAAATGTGCTGTCTTTCCCTTGGGTGCCTGAGAAGGACACTGACTCAATTAAAAAGCCTCATTTCTCTCGATGCCTCCCTCTCAACTGGGCAAGATCATTGGGAACAGAAACTGATTACTAAATTCTATTTTGCAAATTTCTAATTGGGCAAGCCAAGCATGAGACAAGTCTCTTTCTTCCAATACCCAGAATAGACACTCCTGTATATGTCTGATTACTGAGCAATACAGCAAATACCTGAAAAGGAGAACAGGCAACCCTCAGAATTCACCTTTTAGGCGCCCAGAAGCAGCTTTCCAGTACAGCATCCCATCCAGTAGGAGGCGCCGCTGAAGCATATCTTCCTTCCGAAAGATAAGGCCATTCTTAAACTTCCCAGAAGACTTGAGTTCCATCCTGGTTACAATTTCCCGGAGGCGCTGATGTTTCTCAGACTCATTCACCTTGGTGTCAACAGTTGTGATGGCCTCCTTGATAAGCGACAATGCCTTGGTCAGGTCTTCATACTCTTTTGTGGAGACTGCAAAGATGAAGTGAAGCAGCATGTTTAGAAAAGCTACAGTGTGTATTAACTCTTTGCCATCTGGGTTGGTCCCTATAGCAAAAAATGGCACCGGCGTTTTGTAGCATTCTAAGCATTGCCAAGCTGATTGCAGGAGAAAACCTTTACAGGCCAAAAATAAAATGCATCAAACAAAATCATTATGAATCTACTAATTATGACCTTTCACTGATCCTTTTAAGTGACTAACAACATAGTCCTCATGACTGTAACTGAGCCTGGAACTGCAGTCAAAAGTCACGGCAGCTCTTAAATGGGTGACCATCAGATTTTATGACCTTTTGTGGTGGTCTTTAAATGAACGCCAGAGTTGTTAAGCAAACCTATTGCATCCAGTGGGAAATTTTAGCTGGAAACCAGAAATAAACACTGGTTTCCAGCAAAAAAAAAAAAGTCATAAATCACGGCCATGTGACCACAGGGATGCTATAAATGGCCATAAATGCAGGCTGGTTGCCAAGTATCCAAAATGCAATGGGGCAGCAGCTATCAGAACTTTGAAACCAGGTCATAAATAGCTCTGGAGAGGTCTGTCAAATATGGACAGAACCATGTAGTTTTCTTGGCAGCAACACTAAAGTGCTTTCCCATTATTTTTTTCTGATTTAATTAAGAATTGTTGAGAATCAGCCTATATACAAGTTAGCCAACTTGTTTATTTATTACTAGGTTTGGCCTTGCTTAAGGGTTTGTTTGTTTGTTTTATACTTTAGCCACCCAGAAAATATTGTTGTTTGATGCCACCAAAGGGGGGGAAGGAGAATGTTTCACCTAATAAATGGATGTGTAACCTGGCCAATGGGAAGGGTCTATGTGAGTTATAGTTTTAAAGCATTTGGGAAGGAATATTATCCAGGGTCCAGGAATCAAAAAATACTGAAAAGTCAGATTCTGCATCTATACACCAGTTTTGCCCTGTTCCCTATGTTGCTTGGGGTGAATTGTGCTTTCTTAGTGAGCTTTTCTGATAAAGGATGGAAGAAGTCAAAAGTGGCTAAAATAAGTGCCTCTAATAAGTCAGGTTTTTCACCTTCTGTGTTCTGAATGATGCGCTCCACCAAGACAGGATACTTCATGATGCGCTGGGTAACTAAAAGATTGCACTCTTGGACACCAAGCCGTCTCACAATGGAAGAATTGCTGATTTTCTGAAATATATTACATGTACCAAATATACTTACTAACAGCTGAAATTGATACCACATCTTTCATTTCATCAAAAGGTAGAAGAAATGAAGGGAAATGACCTGTTCGCTCCTTATTCTTCTTTGCTATGTAAAAATATGCATTCAGATTTTAATTTGTCTCAAATTTGTCCCCTTTCTGTAACCATTTTTTTTTTTCAGTTACCACAAGCTGGAAAAATCATTCTATCTCATCAGTAAATGAGTTTGCTGAGTTTTCTGTGCAAGTAATTACAAAGGTGCATTATAATTCTTTCTCTTTGTTCCACTTTCTGTCTTCTTGGTTCCCAGAGGAAGTCTTGCTACATCACATTTCAAAAATATTTCTAATCTAGCACCCTTACTAGTGTATATGGCAATAAACTTAGTAAATCACTGAGGAAATAACACAGAAGTCCACTCTTTCCTGAACTACACATTTGTTGAAATAGGTACTGTAACAGTAGAGTACCTTTAGTAAAGGTTGATCCCCAATGTTGCACCCACATACTTCTCTAGGTTATAATACAGGTAGTCCTTGATTTATGACCACGGGACCAGAGTTTCCATTGCTAAGCCAGGTGGTTGTTAAGCGAGTCACCCCAATTTTATAACCTTTTTTTTTTTGCTACAGTTGTTAAGCAAATCACTGCAGATGTTAAGTAAATCACATGGTCATTAAACAAATCTGGTTTTCTCACTGATTTTGCTTCTTGAAAACAGGCTAGGAAGGTTGAAAATTGTGACCATGTGATCCCAGCCCCTCAACCATTGTAACAACACGCCAATTGCCACCCAGCCAGATTTTGATCATGTAACCGTAGGGACGCTGCAACTGTCATAAGTGCAGGGACTGTTTGCAAGTCACCTCTTTTTCAGCACCACTGTAACTCTGAATAGTTGCTAAATGAATGGTTGTTAAGTCAAGGACTACCTGTACAGAAAGGGTTTATGATGATCTTATTCTAGACTGGCTTTTTAAAAACTTTCCCTCTGAACATTTTTGCCTCAAAAAATACCAACAGCACATGGTATTGGGTCTTTCTCTATAGAGGAAGAAACAACGAACTGTCTGAAGGCCTCTTTTCCTCCACCTCTGTGCATTGTGTGTAACATTTTTGAAAACTACCAAAATTACTAAGAGCAGACTTAGTAAGTGTTGTGCTTCTGCTGTATCAGATTTCAGCAGCAACAAAAAGGAGCCCAGCGTGACAGAATGAGATCATTTCCCATCTGTAATCATCTCTCATTTTTTACCTTAATCAAGTTTTGGAACTTCTTGCTTTGCTGCATCAGCTCTTTATAGTAGCTCACAGCATCACTGTGGCTGCTACAGTAAATGCCATATTTCTTCTTCAACTTATCTCCCGTTTTTCCTGAAAACTAAATAAGGAAAGCACAGTCAGGAGCAACTAACATTTGGGAGAAAAGCAAGCTGCACCCAGCACACTCTGGTGTATCAGGAGAACAGATGTCATAGTTCAGCATTATTATGTACTGTACATCCTGGCATTCAACTATAAAGGGAGGGGAGTGAGAATGGGTATTGAGAATTGAATAATTTCTAAACTAGTGCATGAGACTGTCCTGAGAGAGAAAATGCAGGTGAACAGAGCAATAAAACAGCCATTCCTCACTAAGGGGAGATTATATTTTAGGAGACGCAGAGAAAGTGCATCTAACTCAGTATTACCTCCGCTGACAAGAATCAAAGATAGAAAATAGCCTTTTCCTAGACTTGCCACTTGGAATACATTTAAATGCAGTTCACATGCAAAGCTAGTGGCTCTAATACACACCAAGAGTTGTAGTGATTTTCCTCAGAAAAGTCATGAGAGCCCACTGGCCTATTTTCTGGGTGAAAGCCTGCTGGAAAAGGCAAAATTTCCCCTCTGAAGTAAATAAGTGTTTTACATCTTAGGACGACCCCTTGTCTATCCAAGCCCATTCCATAAGCAAAATCTACACCTAAGCACTCACCTGCTCCACCAGGAGATCCCCAATGTTCTGGATGATATAGTTGCATTCGCTACCTTCTTCCAAAGAATTCTTCCGACGTTCCTTTAGCTGGAAGAGGAAGGCTCTGTGGAGCTCCAGTAATTCATCCACACATGGGAAAAGGCGATGGATATCAGAATTGCTGAACTGCAGCTCCTCTCGCATGGCTTGGGAGTAGACCTTCAACATAATCTTCAGAGTCCGGACATGGTGCATCTCTGTCCTCATCAACTCTGCGAGGAGAAGACATTAACATCAAGCCTGGCCAGAGACTGACACACCTAGAAAGCCATCTACTCAATACAGATTTCTTTACCAGAAATCTGGTAAAGAGCACACCGAATCTACAATCAATAGGCTATATCCAATTTCAAGACAAGCACTACCTTTAAGCCAAACTTTTGCATACATGTGAATGAAAAGAGCAGGAGCAGAGCAAATACCGTCAATGAAGTCTGATGGAGTAGAGGCAGAAAAGCTTACCATATATGACATCCTGCCTTTTAATAACATCCCGCTCCTGCTGCTTCACGAATGACTGCTCTACTGCCAGACTCCAAGACTGAGCAGCAAACTCCCGAGCATCTGTCTCCAATTCATTCCTCAAGGAGGCAAACTGAACATCTGGAAGGGGAAGAGTCACAGCTCAGATGAGAATGTATGTATGTGTATTCAGAGAAGCATTCAAAATGCCATTATCAGGAGAAACAAAAATAGCTCAATGTTGTTATCACCAGAGTAGAAATCTAAAGGACTGCATAATAATTCTGAACTTGTGAAGGATCAAATGCTAAAAAAAAAAACATTTTATAAAATGTACACTACGCTATGCAATGTCCAGGACATATTATGGATAAATAATCATTATAGCTCTCATAGATGTAGATAGTGAGAGGTGAAGAGAAGATGCAGCAAAAAACCCCAAAAGGAACCCTTTGAAGTCAGAGAAACCAACTTACAACTGAAATCACCCTAACTACTAAAAAAACTTTCACACAGAGCAAAATGCACATTTGAATTTAACATCACGTAGAGAGGGCAGCCACAAATGTACACTGGAACCCTATCAAAGGGAAGAGAAAGAGAACTCAAACTCAAAGACTAGGGATTTGTTATAGTTCAATTAGCAGTGTTTCTCAACCTTGACAATTTTAAGGCATGTGGACTTCAACTCCCAGAATTCCACAGCCAGCAACGCTGGCTGTGGAATTCTGGGAGTTGAAGTCCACAGCCTTAAAATTGTCAAGGTTGAGAAACACTGAATTAGAGCATCTGACTTCAGAAATGGTCTACCCTACAAGATTCCAGCAGGCAAAAAAAAAAAAAAAAAAAACAAGTTTGCTGTCAGGTCCCTGCATATGTGCTCTTGTTTGGGGCCTGCCATTCTGCTGGGGAGGGGGGAGGGAGAATTGGCTTTAGCTTGGGATAACTTTCGCTTTCTGCTTTTCCTCTCCCGCCCCTATCCACTCGAGAAGAGATTGTGTCTCCCTTATCAGGTAGACAGCTAGGGAGAAATGAAACTGGAGAAGATCTTGAGATGCACGCTAACTGTGCCAGTTACCCAAACATCATACCACTGTGCCAGTTACCCAAACATCGTACCACGTTTGGATTGGCTGGATTTCAAATGGACACTATGACTTTGGTGGGAAGGTGAAGATTGCTAGTTGAACTATATCATTTAAGCGGGATTTTCCCCAGATCTCGCCTTGACTTCCCTACTCTCACTATGCCCTAATAAAAAAGTTCCTTTTGAGACAATGCCTGTTTCAAGAGTTCTGCTTTCTTGAGTGGTTAGCTGAGGTGGGTCCTTACAGTTGCTCTGCTGTCTTCAAGTTGCTTTTTGGGTGTTTTGCTAAGGCATCTGTGTGTGGCCACCACAGTAAACAAAAATGTTGAGTTAGATAGACATCTAACTGTTGATATGGTTCAACACATTAAGAACTCTTGGACAAGAAAGAAAATGAAGGAATGGCATAGGCAATGGACCCAAGGACATGACCCTGGCAAAATGGATTCAAATTCTAGCTTGGTCTGTTTTGCAGATCTTCTTGCAGTTTCGATTCCCTGCTACAGGTGTGGAAAATGACCTAGACCTAACCTAGAAACAGGCCATTCCAAATGTTCTAGAAGTATTCTGGACAAGAGCTGTGGAGGCACAGTGGTTAGGAGGCAGTGTTGCAGGCTAACTCACTGCTCACTCCATAAGTTCAAGTCTCACCAGCTCAAGGTTGACTCAGCTTTCCATCCTTCTGAGGTTTATTTATTTATTTATGAGACTTATCTACCGCTTTAAGTGCAAGCACTCTCTAAGCGGTGTACACCAGTAAGCGATGTATATATATATATTTATTGATAAAAGGTTGATAAAATGAGGGCCCAGATTGTTGGGGGCAATGTGCTGACTCCGTAAAATGCTTAGAGAGGGCTATAAAGCACTATGAAGTGGCATATAAGTCTAAGTGCTAATGCTATTGCTATTCTAACTTTGAAATGGGCCTATTCTGAGATCAGGTGACTTCTGGAAGAACCAGAGCAGCTCAATCTGTTGCACAAACCTGTTCCTTGATAATTTGAGGAGTAAGCTGCTCTGAGAGATGAGCCTTAGAACAGCTCAATCCAAACAAGCTGGCTGAGGGGGTCCTGCCATCTTCCCTCTCCCACAACAGTCAGTGGAAACACTGCTAGTATTTGAGCCAAATAAGCACTCTTTTGCCAACAAAGCTGTATATGCCAGGATATGCATTTCCTGTGTTTTTGCTATTCTCTTTCTCCCTCTATTTCCCAGCTCCATGTTCTTAAATTAATAAATAGGACTATTCCATTGCCAAAGAAATACCTTTCCAAATTTTCAAAGCATCTCCATCTCTAAAAAAATCTAAACAGGTTTATCTTAATCATTAGGCATGCCTAATGATGCCTCTCAGCAGGGAAGTTCCTTGTTGTTTTTGTTGTTGTTTTAACCATTTAGTTGTGTCCGATTCTTGGCGACAGCATAGGCAAGTGCTCTCCATGCTACCCTGTCAAGCACAGTTTCTTTCAAATGCTTGATGTTCAACTTTGTATCAGATTTCATGTTATCAAGCCAGGGTGTTCTTTGCTTGCCTCTTTTTTCTTTTTCCACTAACGACTCGTAGCATCATTGCCTTCTCCAATGAATTTGCATGCATAACATGGCCAAAGTAAGTCAGATGTAGTCTTATGATTTTAGCTTCTAATGATGCACCTGGTTTTATACAATTTAACACGAGAAGCTCCTTACCTTCCACAAAAACTGATTCTGCAGTTGATGATGCCAGTGAGACAACATCTTCAGAGGCTGGTTTAAGTTTCATGAAGCCAGAATCCCCTTCATCCATCTCTCCCCCAGTAAGTCTGAATAGTCAAAGGAAAACATTGAACCAGATCAGCTCTTGCCCCAGGACTGAGTCACTGCACAAGTTATTTTCTTATTAGGATGTTTCTTATTCTGATGAATGCAGCCTGGGCCAAATGCCTTCCAGTGAACAACTTAAGAAGAGCAGCAGTCCTGAGGTACACTTGTGTTCAGTTTGGAAAGGCATCCTGAGATTGTCGAGGAGAAATAGGAATACTGCCAATGTAGAGTGCTGCAGCAGCATGAGAAAATAGTGACAGCACTCAAAAAGTAAAAAATCCATGGAAGGGCTATACTTAGAAAGCTGCCAATAAATGTCTGATAAACACAGAAGAGGCAGAAAAGGGGCAGCGAAGCCATGGGTCATCTTCTACTGCTTATGGCTAAAATACCGTAGTTCCCTTCCTCATGCAGTAAACCTTATGCAATTGAAGCTCTCCACATTTATGGTGTTAAAAACCCACAGCATACAAGGATTTATAAAACAACCATGTAGAATGTCTATGGGAAAATGAATCCATTCAAAGTTCGCATAACAAAGGTGAAATGTGTTTACACTAAGAACTGGTTTTATGGATACTGTTTGCCGATAAATTGAGAAATCTCTATTGATTCCCAACTCAACAGGTCGGTATTCTGACCTAGTGGCTACGCCTATAAAGTTGATTACTTGATAATCCCAATTATTCCCCTGAAACCCCCCCCCCCCGCATGACTGGGAGCCATTATTATTTCCTGACTTGGTTAGAACAAAACTCTGTATACCCAATCTGAAACTGAACAGACAAAATTCATATGTACACTTGGCAGAAATGTAAAAACAAAAAACCCATGTATAACTGCCCCCATGGATGCGCACTCATGCATGGATTTGCATATGTGTTGCAAAATTACAACATGAAATTATGCTACACTATAAGCTAATACTCCCCCACTCCATAAACCCAGAGTTTCCATTAAAATTATGGCAAACACACCAAGCCTGAGTTTGAGTTTGAACAGAAAAGTAGTTGAGAGTCCAGCAAGGAGACCTAAGCTTTGTTTTCTCCAAAAGAAAAATAGAAAAATAGAAAGTGGAGCACTGTTAAAGAGAAGCAGTTACTTCTTCCCAGGCAGGATAAGCCCGGATTCCAGATAAAAGTTCCATAAACAGCCATTTGTATCCAGCAAAGTGCCTACTCACCCGAGCTTACCAACAGCCCCAGCAGAGGTGGTGCTTAGCTGAGATGGCAAACTTCCCCTCTGCACAATTGTCATGCCGAGGTTCTGGGGCAAGCCAGGGGTTCTGCCATCCGGGCCCAAGAGGGCCCTGCAGGAGTGCTCTTTGAGCGAGGTAGCTATAGAAGGAAAGACAGAATTGGTACTCAGGAATCGGGGAGTAAATTGTATGTTGCTTCTTTGCAACCCTCGGGTCTCTGAGCGAGTTTGGAGAACTGACAAAATCCTGGAGGTCAGACGCTCATTTTCCAGAAAGACAGTCTCATTCCACTTGTTGGAAAATGACCCACAGAACAGCAGCTCTGAGTGAGCTGGGATGACTGACTGGCTGCTGTCACTGCCCTTGGAATTAGCATTTCCCATGTTTGCAAAGTGGCTGGCCACAGCAGAATTGCTTGTGCGTGTTCCACCTTTATATCCCTGTGTAATCCTTCTAGAAATGTCTAGAGATGTAAAAGCTGTCACTCAAACTGCTGCAGTGGTTAATCATCCGCAGGTCAGAAAGGGAAAAAATTGGTCCCTACTGTGTCCTCAATCGAATGTGGAAATTGCAAAGTATCTTTTTTAGCAAACAGAGAGAAAGCGCACCAATCAAAGCTTTACATAAACGTAACTGTTCTCACTTTTCAGCAGAAGAGAGAAAATGACTTGCCCTGAAACAAGAATTATCTGAGGCAGAAAAAGTGGCAGAAAGACGCTCACAGTTGTTGCTTCTCACCTACATGCTTGCTGGTTCAAGTGGCGCAATTTATAACACTATGCACATGAGGTCCCAAACTAACATATTAATCAGATCTAATGACCAAGGCATACATTCTCCAAGCAAATTCGTTTTAGAGAATATTTTTTTAAAAAAGCAGTGTAAAGATTATTCATTCGCTTCCCATCCAAGAAGCTTCTCCAGTTCTGACTGAATGGTGGAGGATGGAAGGATTGATATTCCTTGCAGTCATGAAGTCAAGTCATGCGGTGAAGAAGAATATAAATCCTTCCATGCTCCATCATCCAGTCAGAGCTGAAGAAGCTTCTTGGATGAGAAGTAAAACGTCTTCTAGCAAAACAAAAAAGTCCTGTTGTCTTTTGAAAGAAAGCACCTTTGGAATAACCATGACCTGGATGACTGAGGATCTCCATAGACAGCGCAGCTAGCACTAACAAAGCTCACTAAAATTATGTCTCCTAACGTATATCTATCAGAATAGTAAAAACAGGACGGGGGGGGGATTGTGTGTATATTTATATTTGATGATTTTAATGTTTTCTTACACTGTAAGCTGAAACAAGATGGGCAGCAAATAAACAAACAAGCAAGCAAGCAACCAGGCACACACCCACTGTAGGAAGTTTTATCACTCTCTCATCTGCCTTCCTTTCTCCAAATTCTTCTCTCTTTTAGTCCCTTGGCCATTTTTCTCTTAGGCAGACTAAGCTAGGCTAAACTAGTAGTTTCCAAACTATTAGGGGAAAAGATTATAGAGGATGAAGAATTTGAAGGATATATCAGAAGAATTTCCAGAGAAGATGAAATACACCTAGAATTCTCCCAGAAAGTGTCCCAGAAGGTATAAAAGATATGGAACCATATAGTTTATTCTTTTTGTTCTTCTGACATCTCTTTGTGGGAGGAATGTTAACAGCACAAATCTCAAAAGACCTTTGATTGCCTCTTTGCACCTTGCACAGCCCAAGAAGTCAGATCCAGGTAATACAGCTTGATATATGGAGCTAGCTAAGCATGTGGGGCTGGGGAAAATGAAACACATGCAGTTCAGATGCTTTATGAGAAGCCAAATTCAGTCTTTGCCTATATTGTTTAGGCAGACCATCATTCTTGGCTCCAAGTAAAGCCATTAGGAGAGCTGAAATCATCTGTACACAAATGCCCACAAACCCTCGCTCTTGCAACCTATCCTTCATTCCCAACTTTCCTCATCTTAAAAGTACAGTACCCCCTTCTGGCTCATTGGACTGAATGGGGGCTCCTTTGCAGACCAAATTTATGTCTCGGAGACAGAATCACAACGAACATGCTACTTCAAATCTAAATAATTCCCAAAAGGCATGCTGCTTTACTTCAGGTCTTCCAAGAAGCAGAGACATTTGCCCCTTTCTCCAGTTCCCCAGCCCTTCTCCTCTCTCCTCTCACCCTTTGAATGCCCTGGAAATGGACTCATGAATACGAGAAGCTGTACTCTGCGTTCAATTAGCACAATCTGCACACTGCTGAGGACTACTATTGATCACTGCTCTCCTGTTCCCACACAATAGATCACTGTGAGGTTCAACCACGAGGCTGAAAGAAATATCCCCTCCCCCACCCTTGCTTCTCTTTTTAAACTTCCCAAACTGGGGGCTGTAAACGATCAGTCGCTTCCTTTTGCCTGAGAAGAAGAAACATATGAAGTATCAAAGATATCCAACCCCAAAACTTTATCTTTACCTGTAAAATAAAGAAGCTTCTTCTGGTAGCAGACACAACCCTCAATCATCCCACCTCAAGAACATTATTTCTTAAGAAGCTCATTTTTTATCTGCACAAGTATGGCAACCCTCCCCCCCCCCTTACGACAAATCTACTTGCCAAAAGCTCTCAGGTTGGACACCAACCTTCTTGGGTCAGACTATACACTCTCAAGATTATATAATATTAGGTCATGCCTTAACGGGTTCACCTAGGACAGCAGCTCAGACAGATTAGTTTTTACTCTTAATTTAAAATGTAAAGTATTATTAGTCCAAAATGAAAGGCACTTCCATGCTAATGGTTATGCAGGGAAGGAAGACCGCAGGAGATTCCAGGTAGAAAAACAGGAAAAAGAAATGTCAAAATCATCAGAGAGGAGGAAAGGAATAATAATGCTACACCAAAAATAGTTAGAAAATACATATACATAGAAATAATAACAGTATGCACTAGGATAACTAGAAGGTATCTAGAGTGCTTTATCTAAAATATTTAAAATACAATAATGATACAGAAAACATTATTAGCAATGCTTCCGGAGACTGTAGAATATCTAAGTGCAATAAACTGCAACCCTCCATGACTTCATACAGGAAGGATGCACAGATCTATCTACTCCCAGAATGGCCTCCTACTCAATACACAGAGATGTAGCAATCATTGTCTATGAGACAAAGTGCTGCCCTGTGGATAGCTGGGTAGAAATCCCTGTGTATTACATTGGGCCTTAAGGAGAGGAAGAGATTGCTGCTGAGTGTACTATTCATGCCGGCAGACCTTCTCTCAGCTCCTAGATATCACTGAAGATCTGTTCACAATAGAGACTCCCAAACTTTTCAGGCTGGGAGTTTTTAACATCCATGCCCTGAGGGACATCCTGATAGCTCAGAGGTTTTACAGCCTCCCCTGCCCTATCCCTGTCTTGTAGATATTAGCCTCTACAAATACAAACTGTCACATGATAATCTGGTATTTGCCTTGGAGGAGATGTGATGGAATTGGGGAAAAAATGATCACCAGTCCTTTGCTGTGGTCAGAGCACATTTTGGTTTGTATGCATGTTGTCAGCAGGGTGAACCTCTGCAAGGATGATGGACTTAATTAAGCACATCTATCACAGAGGCTGGATGGATCCCTTGGGATTTCCTAGGGCATGTGGAGAGTTCCCAATGACCTTGTGGTTGCTCCATTATGCATCTCACTGACATCTGGAACTTAGATGCAGGAAGAGCACCAGATATCATTGCTCCCATGCAGTCTCCTTTTCTCTGCAGATACCATGTTTGCCCGAAAATAAGACCAGGTCTTTTTTTTTTTTTTTAGCCTTCAATAGAGGCACCAGGTCTTATTTTCAGGGGATGTCTTATTCACCTCCAGCACCACCAGCCCCACCCAGCCGGTCCACTTCTTCTGCAGCTGAAGGAGCAGCTTCATTCCGGAGCTGCATTCTGGCCTGCATTTTGCAGTCAGGCCTTTCCGGAAGACCTCTGCAGCCAAGAACCGAGCTATGGATTTAATCCATAGCTCGGTTCTCAGCTGCAGTGGCCTTCTGGAAAGGTCTGTGACTGAGAAATGCAGGCCTGGCTGCAGGAGACACCACAGAAGAAGTGGGCCGGTGAGGAGAGGCCTGGTTGCAAGTTAAGTGGGTGCAGGACGTGTGGGGCAGCTCCACTCCCCCCACCCCTGCCCTAGCTTGCTTTTTAAGTGTGTGCTTCGACCCAAAACTAGGGCTTATTTTTGGGGTAGGGCTTATATTAGGCCCACCCCCAACAATCAAGCTAGGGCTTATGTTTGGGGTAGGCCTTACTTTTGAGGAAACAGTATCTTGCGGCTTCTTGTTTTTCCAAGGAGCTTCAGAAAAATGAGTTAAGCAAAGAGATGCCTAGGTCATCAAAAATCGAGGAACTAGACAGAGCCCTCAATAAGTTTTGCCACCTGCAACGTAAGCTCATATCCTGTCACGTAATATCAGTCACTGCACTAGTTACCACCTTATTTCCTGGGTCTAGTTCAAAGTACTTGTCATCACCCTGAAATCCCTGTCTGGCCTGATTCCCAAAGACCTACAGGGCCAGCCCTCTCATCAAGATCCAGACTACTTACATTTTTCTAAGGAGGAATGACTGAGGATCCCCTTCCTAAATGAAGCAAGAGAGGTGGGCCCAACAACATATTTCTATGGAGCTGACCCCAGGCTCAGGATAATCTTGCTTCCCACAATAAGGAATACCCCAGATTTCCTTGCCTTTCATGGCTCATTTAAAACTGTTCTACAACATTTAGTGGTATGAAGGCCGCTTTTTAGATAGAAAATTGCAGTCTGTTCTTGTTTTTAACCGTATGTATCTTTTGATTCTGTAAATTGAATCAATATATTCAATCATTAAGTTGTATAAAAATGGGTAATATATATATATATATATATATATATATATATATATATATATATATATATATAAAACTATGCAATAAACAAAATCAGAAATTCCTGAAATAGATAATAATTCTTATTACTATTTATTATTATATAATTATTAAATAGTAATTATTTATAAATATATTAATATATTTATACGTCTACATATATATTATAAATAAATAATAAATAAAAATGAGTAATATCAGATTTAGTAAATTACATTATCAAAGAAGAAAAGCATGCATTGGCTGATAAAGTAAAACAGTCAAGAACTTTAGAATTTTAACTAATGCAAGTTAAAAATTGGAACTTACTAAATGTACAGGAAACAAAACACGAATGTCAAAATAATGTTATAAAAACACAAACCGAATGCTGGCAAGGAAAAGCATCACATGGTTAATTATTACAAAAAAATCGAGGGGAAAGTTAAATTTGGGGTGTTTCAAGAGTAGATCATACAAGCTTCCGCAAGAAAATTGCACAGACTATAATCAATGATATAACCCAGTCACCAAGCCGATTCACTGGAACTTCTACAAAAATTATCATTTGCCAGTAATGAAAAATTGATGGGAACATATAGTTCAAAAAGTAGTCAAAAATGAACAGGTTAAAATACTGTGGTATTTCCAAATACAAACTAATAATCTTGGTGCATAACACACCAAATTTAACTGGTTTGAAAATAAGAAAGTGTGGATAATTGATGTGGCAATACCAGGGGATAGTAGAATAGAAGATAAAGAATTGGAGGATCAGAGTATCAAGATCTGCAAATTGAAGTTGAAAGATTATGGCATAAACTGACAGTGGTGATCCCAGTGATTATCAATACACTGGTTGCCACACCCAAAAATCTTGGATGGCACTTAGAAAATCTGCACATTGACAAAATTTCCATCTGTCCATAAGAGGCCATATTGTTTTGATCTGCACATATACCATGTTGATAGATTATGACATCCTAGGTTCTTGGGAAAAACTTGATGTAAATCAGAGGTGTCCAATGTAGGCAACTTTAAGACTTATGGATTTCAACTCCCAGAATTCTCCAGCCAGCATGGGGAATTCTGGGAATTGAATTCCACAAGTCTTAGAGTTGCCAAGGTTGGACACGCCTGATGTAAATAAAGGCTACTACTAGTTATGGTTTATTAAATTTATATGCCATCCAACTCCCAGAGACTCTCTCTAAGGCTGCTCAGAGATGGCACTGCAGCAAAGACGAGTTTCAGCAGGATGCATATATTTTCATATATATTCTCATGTATAAAATTAATACAGAAATAAAATCTAAGGCTAAGAAAATAATCTTCCCAATTTGTTCCACATCTTCAAAAGATATTTCTTTCCTTTTCTCGTAGCTTCTTTTGCAAGTTTAATTTTGGAGAATATTTAAGATAATGGCCTAAATATATAATAAGCTCTGTCCACAGGCACAATTTAATAAAAGCAGACAGTCCAGATATATTTTTCAATTTCACAGTTACAGAATAACCAATCAATGAAAAACCAGCTTATTGATTTTCTCACTGCTCTGCGGTGGTTGTTCCCTTCCTATCCTGCTTTTTAAAAAAAGTTTCACAGCACAATAAAAAAAAATTAGCTCAACTAAAGAACATTCTAGACTTTTCTCCAATCAGGACAGAGTTGCTGCTCCACTCTTTTTGACAGCATTCCACAAACAGTACCCTGCAATGCTTAAACTTTTAATAATATATTTTTCAAAGTCGTAGTACCAAACATTCCACATTCAAAATCAGAACACAAAAAAATATTTTATACAAACCTCGGCAGGCACTCTGGAGTAAACTAGGGGGGGAGCCTGGGGGGCGGAGTTGCAAATCCCTTTGCTATAACAGAAAGAGAAGAGACAGAAAGAATCAGATATAACATACTTCAGCTCCATGTCAAAATTGGTTTAGTTTCCATTGAACAACAGCTCTGAAGCAAGCCCCGATTCCCTGAATTCAAAGCTTTCGGCTCCCTCAGCCATATTAGTAAAGACCTAACTGTACTCTTAAACAAGGAGCACTGAAGATTGAATGGGAGCTTCAAATATCCACAGGAACTCTGAGGTTTATATCTCAGATTCTGAATTACCCAATGGAATCTTATTACTGTAAAGAGTAAGGAAGATGACCTGGATGGAAATATGCAAGAACCATTACCTGGGAAAAAGGGACAGAAACATTTTAAAGTCCAGAGCAACATTTGGAAAAGGCCTGGTGTGATTTACTGGTGTGGGTGGACTTTGTTTAATTTCAGTGCCACTGTAACTTCAAATAATCATTAAATTAATAGTTATAAGCCAAGGACTACCTATATTACAAAAGGCAGATGGCATTCCCCTTCCTCCAGCCAACAAAATGCTGAAGCCGCGTAATGTTTTCATGACACCATAAAAACGTAGAGCTCCAGTGTGAAATCACTGCGTGGCTTCAGCAATTCACTGGCTCAAAGAAGGCGAACGCCTTTTGCCGTGTTTAATAATAGGCAGCCCATTCGTAAGTACACATTGTCTGTAAATCAGATCTTCTGGATCAATCTTGCAAAATTACAGCCAATCTCAATGTGTTTTTTTTTATTTGTTTTTTTGTTTTTGGTGTGGACTTGATTTCTTGAGCTGGTCTACCTAGTAGGGCAAACTAGGAATACCAGTCTTTAAGTAGGTGTTTGGTGTTTCTTTATTATATTTTTTTTTATTTTCAAATAAAGCACTACTTTTCTGGAAATTATACGGAACATCAGTCTTTAAGTAGGTGTTTGGTGTTTCTTTGTTATATGTATTTTTATTTTCAAATAAAGCACTACTTTTCTGGAAATTATGTTCTTCACAGATCTATTTAAACTGTCAAATCCCTCTGGCGACTTGTATATCGTGAGATCTTCTACTAAGTTCCAATAATTAAACAAATATGTACAATTATGAAATTGCCACATTAATCTAATGCCCTAAACTAAAATGATCCAAGGCCTGGAGACTAAAACATATAATAGTAGTAGTAATAATAATAGTAATAATAATAATAGTAGTAGTAGTAGTAGTAGTAGTAGTAGTAGTAGTAATAATAATAATAATAATAATAATAAGTTGGAAGGGACTTTGGAGGTCATCTAGTCCAACCTCCTGCTCAGGCAGGAAACCCTATACCATTTCAGACAAATGGCTGTCCAGTCTCTTCTTGAAAACTTCCAGTGTTGGAGCATTCACTGCCTCTGTAGACAGGTTGTTCAACTAGTTAATTGTTCTGTCAGGAAGTTTCTCCTTAGTTCTAGGTTGCTTCTCTCCTCGATTAGTTTCCATCCGTTGCTTCTTGTCCTGCCTTCAGGTGCTTTGGAGAATAGCTTGACTCCCTCTTCTTTGTGGCAGCCCCTGAGATATTGGAACACTGCTATCATGTCCCCCCTCGTCCTTCTCTTCACTAAACTAGACATACCCAATTCCAGCAGCCTTTCCTTATATGCTTTAGCCTCCAGTCCCCTAATCATCTTTGTTGCTCTTCTCTGTACTCTTTCTAGAGTCTCAGCATCTTTTTTGCATTGCAGTGACCAAAACTGGATGCAGTATTCCAAGTGTGGCCTTACCATGGCATTGTAAAGTGGTATTAACACTTCACGTGATCTTGATTCTATCCCTCTGTTAATGCAGCCTAGCACTGTGTTGGCCTTTTTGGCAGCTGCAGCACAATGCTGGCTCATATTTAGGTGATTGTCTACTAGAAATCCAAGGTCACTCTCACAGTTACTACTATTGAGCAAGGTACCCCCTATACTATACCTGTGCATTTGGTTTTTCTTGCCTAAAAACCTTGTTTTTTTCACCACTGAATTTCATTTTGTTAGATAGTGCCCAGTGTTCAAGTCTGTCCAAATCCTTCTGTATCTTAAGCTTGTCTTCTGGAGTGTTGGCTATTCCTGCCAGTTTGGTGTCGTCTGCAAATTTGATGAGTTCCCCATCAATCCCCTCATCCAAATCGTTGATATAGATGTTGAAGAGCACTGGGCCCATAACAGTGCCCTGGGGCACCACACTACACATTTCCCTCCATGTAGATGCGGTTCCATTGAGGACCACACGCTGAGTACGGCCGGTCAGCCAGCTATGGATCCATCTAGTGGTGATGCTGTTTACCCCACATTTTTCTATCTTGTCAAGTAGTAGGTTGTGATCTACTTTATCAAATGCCTTACTAAAATCCAAGTAAATTATGTCCACAGCATTCCTCTGATCCACTAATTTTGTCACTTGGTCAGAGAATGCAATAAGATTTGTCTGGCATGATCTATTTTTGATAAACCCATGTTGGCTTTTAGTAATGACTTTGTTTGCCTCTAGGTGTTCGGTGATTCGTTATTTGATTACCTTTTCCAGGATCTTCCCAGGTATTGAGGTCAGGCTGATAGGTCTGTAATTTCCTGGGTCCACTTTTGTTTCCTTTTTTGTAGATGGGAACTACATCAGCTCTTTTCCAGTCCTCTGGTAGTTCCCCTGTGCTCCAGGATCTTTGAAAAATATAGTTCAGTGGTTCTGAGATCACATCTGCCAGTTCCTTGAGAACCTTGGGGTGTAATCCATCTGCTCTTGGCGATTTGAACTCATCTAGGCTGGACAGGTGCTCACTTATCATTTTCTTGCCTATCTTAAGTTGTGTTTCTATTCAGTTTTTTTATGGCACTATTTTTGATAGGTTGGTCTGTTTTTTCCCTTTGTGTAAAGACAGATGCAAAAAATGAGTTAAATTGTTCTGCTTTCTCCCTGTTGCTTGTCACCTTCTTGCCACTTTCACCCACTAATGGACCAATCATTTCTTTCACTTTTTTCTTGTTTTTTACATGTTGAAAGAAGCTTTTTTTGTTATCTCTGACTTTGGTCGCAAGCCTTAGTTCATTTTGAGCCTTGGCTTTCCTCACTTCATCTTTGGAGGCTCGGGCTATTTGCTGATATTCTGCCTTAGTTATGTGCCCCTCTTTCCACTTTCTATACTTGTTCTTTTTATCTTTCAATTTATCAGAGAGTTCTTTATACAGCCATGCTGGTTTCTTTTGTGAGCTGTTATTTTTCCTCTTTGTTGGTATTGTGCTAGACTGGGCTTTTATTATCTCATTTTTCAAAATTTCCCAAGCTTCTTGAGTTGTTTTCCCCTTGAGGATTCTCATCCATGGAATCCTTCCCAAGTCCTCTCTAAGTTTATTGAAATTAGCTCTCTTGAAGTCCAAGATTCTAGTTTCACTGTGTTCTATTGCTTGTGCTTCCATAATGTTGAATTCCAGTATTGCATGATCACTTCCTCCCAGGGTTCCTATGGCTTCAACACCTTCTATCATTTCATCTCTGTTAGTGAGAATTAGATCCAAAATGGCTAATCCCCTAGTTCCCTTCTCTACTTTTTGGAAGACAAAGTTGTCTGCTAGGTTTGCCAGGAACCTGTTTGATCTTCCACTTGGTACAGAGTTTGTCTCCCAGTTGATGTCAGGGTAGTTAAAGTCCCCCTGTGATGTGCTTCCTACATACCTTAGTTAGCTGACTAGCAAAAAGTTCATCTATTTCCTCTATTTGGTTGGGTGGCCTGTAGTATACACCTATGGCAATGTCATTTTTCCCCCTTTTATATTGACCCAAATGCATTCAAGACCGTTTTTATCATCATTGTGCTCTATTTCTGTAGAGATGTAGTTATTTCTTATATAGAGAGCAACTCCACGCCCTCTTTTATTTGGTCTGTTTCTTTTAAATAATTTAAATCCCTCTAGCTGTGTGTTCCATGTGTGGGTTTCATCCCACCATGTTTCCATAATGGCAACAATATCATATCTGCCCTCATTAACCTGAATTTCTAGTTCACTCTGTTTGCTGTTCATACTCTGTGCATTGGTGTATAGACATTTGAATCTTTTATGACTGGCCCTGTGTTTACTTTCTATATAACCTGTGTGGTGCCTGAGTTCCCCTATTGTCTTACCACCTATTTGGTTAGTGCACTTTGTGTGGCACTCACTGTTAGAGGCTTGTTTTTGCTTGACAGCAAGGTTGGTATTCTTGTCCACACACACCTCTATGTTACATGCACTGATAGCCCTATATATGAAAAATGGCTGCAGGACTTGGGTTTGGCTAGTTTAAAGAAAAGAAAAAGCAGGGGTGACATGATAGCAGCATTCCAGTATTTGAGGGGCTGTCACAGAGAAGAGAGGGTCAAATTATTCTCCAAAGCACCAGATAGCAGGACAAGAAACAATGGTTGGAAACTGACCAAAGAGAGAAGCAACTTGGAATTAAAGAGAAACTTCCTGACAGTGAGGAAAATTAACCAGTGGAACAGCTTGCCTCCAAAAATTGTGTGCGCTCCATCACTGGAGGTTTTTAAGAAGAGACTAGACAGTCACTTATCTGAAATGGTATAGGTTCTCCTGCCTGAGTAGAGGGTTGCACTAGAAGACCTTCAAGGTCCCTTCCAGATCTATTCTATTCTAAACACTAGCCTGCCATAAACATTAGTTAGCAGGATCAATGTTCAGGGAAAGAATTATGTGGAAGGACACAAGTTCCTCAATCCTACTTCAAGGTTGCCTCTGTTTTTGAAAAGCTGAATTCCCGTGTGGAAGAGGTAGTAGAAAAAGTGGAATTGATGGAGGAAAAATTTGAAAGTATGGAAAAAGAAATGGAAAATGAGATTCTTATGCTTCAATATGGACAAATGGAATACGCCTTAAGAATCAGAGGCTTGAGAGTCTTTGCAAGGAGATCTGAAAGAGATGGTTGCAAAGGACTTTGCTGTGATTTTGAATAAAGAAAAAGAGGAAATACTTAGTGAAATTGAAAAATTATTTAGAGTTAATTCTGTGGTGGCAGTGCAAAAGAATTTGCCAAGAGATGTGGTAATTTACTTTGGGAAAAGATCCCTGCGCAATGAAATTATACAAGCTTTTTATAAAAAGAGATTTGAAATTGCCCTACAAGACGTTATAATTTTAAAGGAGATCCCATCTAAAATTTTAAGAAGAAGAAAGGAGTTTGCTTTTTTAGCAGATGAACTTAAAAAGAGACGAATCTCGTTCAGATGGGATGTTCCGATTGGAATGGTGATGAATTACCTGGGGATATGTTATAGACTTAATACTGTTTTTCAAGCAAAAGATTTTTATACTTCGGTCCTGGGGGTATGTTCATCGCCATCTACTAAGTTTAAAGCCTTGGAAGAAAAGAATGTAGAATTATACCCTGAAGAGCCTATACTTATGAAAATTGGGGAACCTCAGCTTGAGGGGCCTCAACAAGTTCAGATAGAGGAGTAGAAGATAACTTGTGCAACATATAACTGTAAAGAGAAGCAGCAACAGAAGAAGGTTAAGGAAGCCTCACATCTATTGGTTTCTAAACCTGCGGGAGAAGCAAGACTTATAAAGATTCGGGCGCAACCCTCAAGGGTAAAATTGCTGTCTGAAGAAATGGAAAATGGGAAATCTCAGTCTGAGGGGCTGCAACAAGCTGAGAGGAAGGGGCGGAGGACAACTTGTACAACATATAATAGTAAAGAAAAAGACCAACAGAAGAAGGAGTTTAAGGAATCTTCACATGTATTGGCTTCTGAGCCAGCGGGAGAGTCAGGATTTATAATTTCGGAGCAACCTTTAAGGGCAGATCTCAAAGCATTTCTTTCGAGCCTTATGGATAAGAGAGACTGATAAGGATGGAGATCGAATGAAAATTTTATATGGACAACTGAGACTGATAAGGACTGTGTTTTTTGTGGATGGAACTTACTATTGGTAAAGATTTAAATGTTTAATGTGTCTATTGTGGATGGAATTTATTATTGGTAAAGATTTAAATGTGTATAAGGGAATTTTAATGTTTTAAGTTTTAAGTAATGTTTAAAGTTGTGTTTTGGAGGGAGTTTATAAAGAATGATGGATAATAATATAAGTATGATATGAAAAGATTTGGAGTATATTATAATGTGTTCAATGTTTGGGGGTTTTTTATTATTATTATTATTATTTTTAAGATGGAATTTGTTATTGGTAAGATTTTAATGCGTATAAGGGGATTTTAATGTTTTAAGTTTTAAGTAATGTTTAAATTTGTGCTTTGGAGGGAGTATAATTTGTTTAATTAAATGTATTCAGATTTGCCTATGATTTATATTAGATTTTATATTGTAGGTATAGATGTTTAAACAAAGTAATGTTTAAATTTGTGTTTTGGAGGGAGTTTATATAGAATGATGGATAACATTATAAGCATATTAGAAAATGTTTAGAGTATTTAATTTAAGGTATCCAGATTTGTTTAGGATTTATATGTGTTTCAAGTTTTTCTTTTCTTTTTCTGGAAAATTTTAATTAAGCCTGTACTCAACTCTGGGAAGGTTGGGGGAGGGTTTGGGAGGTTTGGGGAAGTGGGGGAGGGTAAGGGAAGGTGGGGGGGTCTGGGGAGGGGATTTGTTTTGTAAAATTTAAAAAAATTTTCAATAATAAAAAAAAATCCTACTTCAAGGTTTAAATGGCTGTTTAGAGCAACATATTAACAAACAACTAACCCTCTCACTCTCCCTAGTTTTAACTAAATGGAAAATGAATATTCCCCAGTACAGGTAGTCCTTGACTTATGACCACAACTGAGTCCAAAATTTTTGTTGCTAGGAAAGGCAGTAGTTGAGTTTCACTCATTTTATGCTTTTTTGCCATAAGCAAATCACTGCGGTTGTTAAGTGAAATATGTAATTGTTAAATCTGGCTTCCCCCATTGATTTTGCTTGTCAGAAGTCAGTGAGGAAGGTGATCACGTGACCCAGGACAGTGCAACCATCATAAATACATGCCAGTTGCTAAGTGCCAGAATTTTAATAATGTGACCAAGGGGATGCTGCAATGATCGTAATTGTGAAAAATGGTCATAAGTCACTTTTTTTCAGTACCACTGCAATTTCAAACAGTCACTAAGCAAATAGTTGTAAGTCAAGGATTACTGGTACAGGGTAAGTTTTAAAAGATTTAAATAAATATTCTTGTTTCATTTTGTGCATCAGTAAGTCAACCAATAATATTCTCCATTTTTTTTCCATCAGGGACACTAGCAATACTATACATCTTTGAGAAAGAACACTAATAATTTGGTAGCAAGTGATAAAAAAGGAACCTCTGTCCCTGAGTAACTTAAAAGATGCTTGTAGTTATCTACCAATACTGAGCAAGATAAACTATTAGCCTATTTTGAATCTGTTAATTAGAGCTTCTTTTAGAAAGATTCAGGAAGTAGTTAACTCATTTTCAAGAATTCTGCCTCCACCCACTGCTATTAATGCAATATAATTGTTTATCTTTACCTAAAATAAATTGATTGACTCATTTCTACAAGTCATTGACTAATGTTCACAAACATTCAACTGCAACAACTATAGCATAGATAATGCCGTATTCTAACTTTAAAAATAAACAATTATGTCTTTTCACATAAATTGGAATAATCAACAGCTTGCCTTCGGAGGTTGTGTGTCCTCCATCACTGGAGATTTTAAAGAAGAGATTGGACAACACTTGTCTAAAATGATATAGGAGCTCCTAATGAGCAGGGAGTTGGACTAGAAGACCTCAAAGGTCCCTTCCAACTGTTATTCTGTTAATAACAGCTCTATCAGAACTATTTTGTAAAAGAACGAAAATAACAGCCTTCACATTATGAAACACTTTGTTATAAATTATAGACCTAGGCAGCATGTTTAATTTTTACCTGTATTGTGAACCTGTATTTGAGCTATAAGAAATAAATATGCTATAGAAATAAATGAATGAATGAATGAATGTGTGTATGAGTAAGATTGCACAATCTACCTTGGATCTGCTGCTGCTGCATTCAGGCAGAAGATTCTTGCAGTTTTTGTGAACATTTACTGCACAATCTGACGAGGAAAGAAAAATAAAATTGAGGTCATTTTTTCATATATGCACACGGACACTTATATGTGGTTACCCTAAGGTTAGCAGTGCCTTTAAAAGATTACAGAACGACAGTCCTATAGAAACAATACCAATATGGCACATGTAAACCAATATGATGCTAAGGATTCCAAAGAATACCATGGACTGCACTTATGGATATTACAGATTAGATTAGATTAGATAACCTTTATTATCACTTTTTCCTATGGGCACAACGGCACATATTAAAAATGAAATTTAGTTGCTTGCTCTCAAAGTGTACATATACATCACATTTAAAACATACAATATACAACATATACATAGACCTACATCCTTACATATAAGTAACATAAAACACATTTACATTGCAAATGTGTTGCAAATCTTCAGACATCTTTTCCTATAATCATTTTTTAGGATTGGGTAACCATGTGAAGACGGAGCTGCACCTGTCACATGAACACCCTGTGTGCCCAAATTACCTTTATTCCTTTGCCCAGCCCTGTTAAAGAGTGCACCATTAAAGCTGAGACCAACCAGAGCATAGACAAACTCAAAGACGTAGTGCAAGATCAGAAGAAGTGGAGAGACTTGGCCCATAGCATCGTCAAGAATCAGACATGACTGAATGGGTAACATCATCACTGTCACTAAAGAGTAACTAGTTAGGAAAGCTGATCTCCCTCCAATCAATTAATCCAAACCCTCCTTCAACAACAAGGATACTACACTGTAAGGTGGTCAACAGAATTCTTTTAACACAAAGAGTAACTAATTAGGAAAGCTGATCTCTCTCCAACCAATTAGCCCAAACCTTCCTTCAACAACAAGGATACTACACTGTAAGGTGGTCAACAGAATTCTTTTAACACACATTATTATCTATCAAAGTATTCTAAGCACATGAAACTGTCCTAGACTCAATTCAGACCATTGGTCCTTCCAGCATTAAATTTATTCTTACTAACTGTAGTTCCCCCAAAAAACAAGACGCAATGGATGGAAACTAATCAAAGAGAGAAACAACTAGAACTGAAGAGAAATTTCCTGACAGAACAATTAATCAGCGGAACAACCTGTCTCCAGAAGTTGTGAATGCTCCAACACTGAAAGCTTTTAATAAGACACTGATAACCATTTGTCTGAAATGGTATAGGGTTTCCTGCCTGAGCAGGAGGTTCAACTAGAAGACCTCTAAGGTCCCTTCCAACTCTATTATTATTTATTATTATAAAATCCAAGGCAAGTAATTTAATTGGAAATACCAGAGTCTAAAACTAGGATCTCCTCCATGTAAAGTTGATGCTTCACCAGTACTCAAACCATGTCTTTTTAAATCCCTACAAGCAGCTGGAATTACAGCAAAATTCTATCTACTAAAAATTTTGTTGTTACAGCATGATGTCAAGTGGGCTCTCTCTCCTAGTTTTCATGCTGATCAAAGAACAGCAAGGAGCAGCAGAAGCTGGGAGGTGGCAAGACTGAAAAAGGCCACCTGAATTAGTTTATGCACTGTCTGAACAATATTACACCCCAATATTAACTCTGCTGTAACTGGCAATGGATACCCAGTCTCCAGGGTAGATAAGAGGACTTTTCCAGATCACAGACTGACAAGTTTTTAAGAAAAGCTCAGGATCTTAAATTAGTATAACCTCTGAGTTCAAGACAGAACCATGTGGAAACAGAATGATCCAGATATATAGCCTATTAGTAACCACTGCCTTTAAAACCATCAAAGTCGGTTTTTGCTTCTCTGGTTTTGCTCAGAGTTGCCAAATGCTGGCTGAATATTGCCCTCCTCTCCTGCAACAGACGTCAAATTCAGAGGTTATAGTTTCCAAGTCAAACTGAACCAGATTACATAATTCACACAAGATATAGCCCAATAAATGGCACCCCTTTCACACTCCAGCAACCGCACAGCATGTCCTTGCAACAAACAGGCTGAACTGGCTAAGAAGAGAACAACTTAAAGACTCAGCTTTGAGTTAGCAGAACTGTTTGGGCTACAGCACAAGGAAGCAAAGAGTTCTGTTAAATTCAGAGCCTCCTCTATTCCAGAGCCATTTGAACAGATGGAAAATGTACAGGAACTGATGAAAAACAGTATTTGGCTAAGATCATCATTTCTGTGCAAGCATAAGAGAAAACCAAAAGCTGTTTCTTTGTGATTTCTGCTTGGAGGAAAGTTTTCCTTACCACAGAAGACCTTAAGCAAAGAGACATTTACAAATCTGGGAGCAATGTAAGCAAAAGCACCTGATTGCAGTCATGAAAAAAGTCTTCATTCCTCCCGTACCATGAAATATAAATATATAAAGCTGTTGCTGCACCCCTTAGTTCAATAATGACTGCACTTATTAGGTGACACCACTCCCACACTGCCTGCCAGAGGGAAAGAAGTTTTATTTGCCTGGAATGGCCTCTGTGGACACCACCTTTTTTACTTCCTTTAAATCTTTTCACAAAAATAGTCATTTTATTTTGTCTCGTCTTTGGCCAAAATCCAACTTTATTGTATATCACTGAAACATGGCAAACAGGTAGTCCTTGACTTACAATAGTTTGTTTAGTGACTGTTCAAAGTTACAACAGCACTGTTATGATCGTTTTTCACATTTACGATGTGCAGCATTCTCATGATCATGTGATCAAAATTCAGATCCTTAGCAACTGGTTCATACTTATGACAGATGTAGTATCCCAAGGTCATGTGATCCCCTTTTGCGATATTCTGACAAGCAAAGTCAACAGGGAAGCCAGTTTCACTTAACAACTGGGTTACTAACTTAGCAACTGCAGTGATTCACAACAACTGAGGCAAGAAAGGTCACAAAATGGGGCAAAATTCACTCAACAAATGTCTCACTTAATAACAGAAATTTTGGGCTCAGTTGTGGTTGTAAATTGAGGAGTACCTGTATTCTCCCTGGTCATCTGCCCTTTGTTGAAACCTTTTGGGATCCGTATCTGACCTTTCTCTTCTACCGTGGACAGCACTGAGCACTCTGGTGAGGTCCTGTGTCAACAGCTGAAGCAGCAACAGAAAGACCAAACGGCAGCTGAAGCACAGCCTCTCAAGGCCTGCCAGGCACCGAAGTCTTCAAACGTGTCCCTGAGTAGAAGTCCTTGTACTTTTCTTCACCTTCAACTCCCACTTCTGACCTAAACAGCCATTAGAATGACTTCAAAGAAGTACAGAATGAGACACCAGGAACAAAAATAACTACAGTGACCTCACCCTGAAAGGTATTTGAAGTATCTAGGAAGTGGAAATGCTGAAAAGCAGAAACCAGCCAGTCTTGCCTCAAAGCTCCGTTCTGAATTGTTTGAAATGCAAATCTGCACAGCAGCCACAGGGATTCTGAAACCAGCACTCCACCAAAGCCCCAACATCTGTGATAATTCCCCAACTCCTACAGTGCTAAAGGCAGAGTCTTTATTGTACATGTCAAAACCGCTTGGCCAAAAAAACTCCAAAAAGACAAAACAAATGCATGCCTGAAATTTGCCTAAGTTTATTCTTGTACATGAGAAAAGCACCTCAAAGCCCATTGCTAGATTTTATAATTTCAGACATGGTGTGCTGAATTGAAGACAGGTGGCCCTTCACTTATAACCATTCATTTAGTGACCATTCAAAGTTACAACGGCACTGAAAAAAGTGATTTATGATCGTTTTTCACACTTACAACCATTGCAGTATCTGCATGGTCACATGATCAAAATTTGGACACTTGGCAACTGGCTCATATTTATGACAACTGCAGCGTCCCGGGGTCTGGTGATCATTTTGTGATCTTCTGGCAAGCAAAGCCAGATTCATATAACTACTGTGTTACTAACTTAACAGCTCCAGTGATTCCCTTAACAACGGTCACAATAAAAATTGTAAAATGCAGCAAAACTCACTTAACAACTGTCTTGCTTAGCAACAGAAATTTTGGGCTCAGATATGGTCATAAATTGAGAGCTACCTGTATACCTGTGTGGGACGTTTCCCAGTAAGAAAATTAACTCAAGACCAAAAAACACAGACTATTGGGACCAAATATATATTTGAGTATATCTCCCTTTGTCAACAGAAGCTGGAAAAAACAAAATTAAAATCTCTAAAGGGACACGTATTTATATCTCCTAAAAAGAACCCCCATTACTATATAGCATTTTAAAAACACTTATCATAGTACATCCACTCAAGAATTAAGGAAATAAACATGTATACAGCCACTTTTTGTTTAGCATTATGTTCAAAGGATAATTGCTTTGTTCTTCATTTAATATACCACAATTATTAGTGAGAATTTGTTTTTGGCTCATGAAGAAACAAATCCAGATGTAACGTATTTTTTTAAAAGGACAGAAAATTCTTGGTTTCTAGAGCACTCCTAGCAGGAATTTTTTTATTGATTTATTAGAAAATAAATATAGAGGAAAATAAAAATAGTGGAAAACTAAAGGAGGAAAAAAGTAAAAATGTGGGGTAGAGGGGGGAAAAAGAAGAAAAAAGCACTGACTTCTAACTCTTTTTAGCACAGTAGAAAATAACAATATTACAGCTTCTACTTTTTTCTTTTACCCAGTAATATATACTAGCCATTTCTATAACAACTTATCTAATCAGCAAAATCAAAATCAAAGTTTCATTTTTTTTCATCACAAGGATAAAATCTGGAAGCAATTTCCAAAGCAACGAGCCAAAAATGAACCTGCAGCAAACACATGCCTACTTCCTCAAATTTCTTATCTTTATGTATGAGCTGGACTGATACACTAACACAAAATTTCTCTGTTAGAAAGTTACGATATTGCAAGATATCACAACCTCTTTTAAATGAAATTTTAAAATGATATATTCAATTTCTGGTGGTACATGTAGTCCGGTTTTAAAAAAAAGTGACTTATAACCAGTCCTTGCACTTACAACTCATGCAGCATCCCTACAGTCACATGGTTAAAATTTGGATGCTGGCAACCAGCATGTATTTACTATGATTGCAGGGTCTGGGGTCAGGTGACCACCATGTGCAATCTTTCCAGCTAGCTTCTGACAAACAAAGTCAATGGTGGAAGCCAAATTCACTTAACAACTTTGTGATTCATCATGGCAAAAGAATACATAAAATTGCAGGTCACTCAACCATAGCATGCTTAGTAATGCAAACTCTGGTCTAAATTGTGGTCATAAGCTAAGGACTCCCTTAGTGTACTGTTTTTCTTTTTTTAATCCTTGTGAGCTGCCCAGAATTATTGACAAATGGGCAGCCCTAGAAATTTAGACTGTAAATAAAGTATAAATAGAACCAGATCTGAAAGATCAACCTGGCTATTAGATGTAGTCCTTTTTTCTCAGCCACCATACACTCATCTCTAAACACAAATTATTTGTAGAGAGAAGACAATGCAGGACAAAAATTCTTTAAGAAGCTTTCAGTTTGAGAAACATCAAGCACCAGAGACATCAAACAGAAATACTTTTAGGAATCTCTTTCCTTTTTCACCTGGCATGTAGTAATCCTGGTTATTTAAGTGGGAGGACAGTGAAGTGAGACATTGATCCTTCTAATTTGACTGTTTTCATTTTTGTATAGCCTTTCTTTCTGAACCTTCTTAAAGAGCAGCCTCGGGCTCATTACACAAGCATAATTTTCTTGGAGAGATTTTCTACACAGGCTTTCCCTGGTATCTATCTAATTCCTGTTGTATAAACACTGGGAGGGCATGTTTATAAAGTGAGATTAACAGGCATGAAAACTTCTCTGCCTGAAAGGCCTGCTGGGAAAAAAACAGGGTGTGCCAGGGCAAATGTCTCCATTTCCAGGTGAACCAAAAGTTAAAGCTCAAAGACTTATCTAGTTGTGGCATAGTTTCCTATGCAAAGTTTGTGGCTGAATGAGTGAGTCACAAGCAACTGGATTTCAACGTTCTGACCCCAGTGCGTAACAACTCATCTATCCTACAGGATGCCTGAGAGCAGAGGGGGAAAAGTTTGATTTTTTTTTCATTATATTTATATCTGAGAGCTCCAGACAGCTTACATTAGGATCTCTTTTCACTCCAACACTTCAGCAGACCTATGATATGCTGAAAGAATGATCCAAGTCACCAAAAGTTACAACAGCTGAAGCTGGCGGTGAACCCACATTTCCCCAATCCTAACCCAGTATTCTGATCACCATACCAAATTGGCTTGAAAAATTAGCTTGCTGCTGGGCACCCCTCCATAGCAAACTCTAAACCTACCTTATCAAATAAGGTCCAGGGACAATTTTCAAAATATCTCCCTTTACACCAAATCAATATTCCTGCTTTAACACATTATTGCCTACATATGAAAAGCTTACCAGGATATCTTAGAAAAGTCATCCATAAGCTGACCCATAAGATTCACCTTGCAAATAAACCCCCAACAAATTACAGTCCACAAAATAATAAATCTGATGCCTAATGCTAAATTAGTGCTTAGTCTCTCTCTTTCTCTCTAACTGATTCTTGCTCAAGGCAACTAGCCAAATGATTAATTACATGGTAATACAGGTAATCATTTCACTGTTTCTCTTTGGTGGAACCTTCCAGCAATTTGACCTTTGTACTAAACATCTTAGCTATTTAATTAAAGATACAATACCACAATTTAGTTTCAGCAGCTGATAGGCCCACAGCCATTGTGGCTTTGAAGCCCATTGAAGTAATGCCTTACTATTAAACTCAACTGAAGGAAGGAAAAGTTAGAGACACCTATAATCAAGAGATAACATACAGTAGTACTCTGTACCACAGCTCAAGATCCAAACATAGCATGCAATCACCACTATAATTTAAGCCTCGTGCAACAAGTTCATAATTTAAAGTACTTAGAAATTGTAGCAGCTGAGGCACCCCTACCAATTGGCATAGCTGGGTCTTCGTATACAAGTGGTCCTTGACTTATGAAAATTGACTCAAAATTTCTGTTGCTAAGTGATACAGTTGTTAACTGAGTTTTGCCCCATTTTACATCCTTTCTTGCTACAAATAAATTGCAGTTGTTAAGTAAATAACACAACTGTCAAGTAAATCTGGCTTCCCCACTGACTTTGCTTGTCAGAAGGTTGCAAAAGTGATCAAATGATCCCAGGACACTGCAACCATCATAAACATTAGTCAGTTATCACACGTCTGCATTTTGAATATATCATCTTGGGGATGGTGCAATGGTTGTAAGTGTGAAAAATGGTCAATAAGTCAGTTTTTTCAGTGCCATTGTAACTTCAATCATTATATGAAGCATTGTAAGTCGAGGACTATTGTACTGCTATACATTCCTCCCTCCCCAGCCATTTTTCCACCTAAAGAAATTGTATCTTTAAGAATCTGATGTACATCAATTGATCTGAAGACTTCCAAAAGATATATGAGTGCCATCTTATTCTTATGGCAGCATGCTCAGGAAACAGCTGTTAAACTTGCTATCTAAGTTCTAAGAGCTTCTACTCTTTCCCCCCAAATGAGGGGAAAAGGGAGAGGCTAGGAAAAGAAAAAGTATCTTTTTTGCACTTTTGCCATGGAACTCAAACTCAGAACTTGCAGCAGGAACGCTTTTCCTTCCCTGTCCCAAAAGTGCTTTTCCAAAAGACAACTGGACTTCCTTGGTTTCTTTCCTTTGAAAGCATTTTGCTTCTAATCCAAGAATGTTTTCAAGGAAAAAACACAAGAAAATCCAGTTGCCTCTTGGAAAAACACCTTTGGGACCACCATGACCTGGATGATTGAGAATCTCCATAGACATCTTCCCCCCCCCCCTTAATAGAGAAGTACAAGCAAGCCATCTGCTCAAGGGATTATAAGAGTTTGGAATGCTCATTCCTGCTTTCTCTTCTACAGCTTTCCAAATATTATGATTACCATAAGAAAATCAGAAAGCCTGTTTTCAAAAATATCAGATGATTGGCAAATATCTTGAGGTATTCAGGTGTCACTGAATACTGTCACTGCAAAAAAGTATGAACCTAATTGCCACTGGCTTTGAGTACACATACAATAATAGTATAGCCACAGACTTAAGGTTGATGGCAGCACAACTATGAATGTTCTGGCTACGGGTGTTTGTGCACCTTTTGAAGATTTTCTCAGTGGAATCTTTTCATCTCCTCACAGGCTGAGAATTTATGCAATCTGTTCAACTTTGCACTACTGTAAGAGCTACGTGTCCACTAACACACATCATTCCGTTTAACTGTAGGATAGAATTGCTGGGCCAACCTACCAAAAGCAACACGTTTCCTTTTCAGTTTATTATTATTGTCACAATTTTAATACTGCCCTTCTGCCAAAACCATCATGGCAACATATGAGCAATCAAATTTGAACATTTATAAAAAAATTGTAATAAAATGTTTAGAAAACCAATACATTTAAGAAGTCATTAAAAATGG